TCACTGAACCTAACATATCAAAGTATGTCTTGTCACTGAACCTAACATATCAAAGTATGTCTTGTCACTGAACCTAACATATCAAAGTATGTCTTGTCACTGAACCTAACATATCAAAGTATGTCTTGTCACTGAACCTAACATATCAAAGTATGTCTTGTCACTGAACCTAACATATCAAAGTATGTCTTGTCACTGAACCTAACATATCTAATGTATGTCTTGTCACTGAACCTAACATATCAAAGTATGTCTTGTCACTGAACCTAACATATCAAAGTATGTCTTGTCACTGAACCTAACATATCAAAGTATGTCTTGTCACTGACTGAACCTAACATATCATGTCTTGTACTGAACCTAACATATCAAAGTATGTCTTGTCACTGAACCTAACATATCAAAGTATGTCTTGTCACTGAACCTAACATATCAAAGTATGTCTTGTCACTGAACCTAACATATCAAAGTATGTCTTGTCACTGAACCTAATATCAAAGTATGTCTTGTCACTGAACCTAACATATCAAAGTATGTCTTGTCACTGAACCTAACATATCAAAGTCATGTCTTGTCACTGAACCTAACATATCAAAGTATGTCTTGTCACTGAACCTAACCATATCAAAGTATGTCTTGTCACTGAACCTAACATATCAAAGTATGTCTTGTCACTGAACCTAACATGTCTTGTCACTCACTGAACCTAACATATCAAAGTATGTCTTGTCACTGAACCTAACATATCAAAGTATGTCTTGTCACTGAACCTAACATATCAAAGTATGTCTTGTCACTGAACCTAACATATCAAAGTATGTCTTGTCACTGAACCTAACATATCAAAGTATGTCTTGTCACTGAACCTAACATATCAAAGTATGTCTTGTCACTGAACCTAACATATCAAAGTATGTCTTGTCACTGAACCTAACATATCAAAGTATGTCTTGTCACTGAACCTAACATATCACTGAACCTAACATATCAAAGTATGTCTTGTCACTGAACCTAACATATCAAAGTATGTCTTGTCACTGAACCTAACATATCAAAGTATGTCTTGTCACTGAACCTAACATATCAAAGTATGTCTTGTCACTGAACCTAACATATCAAAGTATGTCTTGTCACTGAACCTAACATATCAGTATGTCTTGTCACTGAACCTAACATATCAAAGTATGTCTTGTCACTGAACCTAACATATCAAAGTATGTCTTGTCACTGAACCTAACATATCAACTGAACCTAACACATATCAAAGTATGTCTTGTCACTGAACTAACATATCAAAGTATGTCTTGTCACTGAACCTAACATATCAAAGTATGTCTTGTCACTGAACCTAACATATCAAAGTATGTCTTGTCACTGAACCTAACATATCAAAGTATGTCTTGTCACTGAACCTAACATATCAAAGTATGTCTTGTCACTGAACCTAACATATCAAAGTATGTCTTGTCACTGAACCTAACATATCAAAGTATGTCTTGTCACTGAACCTAACATATCAAAGTATGTCTTGTCACTGAACCTAACATATCAAAGTATGTCTTGTCACTGAACCTAACATATCAAAGTATGTCTTGTCACTGAACCTAACATATCAAAGTATGTCTTGTCACTGAACCTAACATATCAAAGTATGTCTTGTCACTGAACCTAACATATCTAATGTATGAACAGTTTTTATGTATAAGTTTGTATTTTGCAGAACACAAGAATCAAATTACGTCAAAGTATATTTTTTTCACATTTTGTTCTTTAGGAATGTTGGATTACGCATTTTTGAAGAGGAATTCTCATGTTATGTTAAAATCTTATACATGTGACAGTCATACAAATACGGCATGAAATGCTAACTCATTGAACAAGAAAATAAGGAGTAAGCCAATATTTGCCACAGTCATTAGCTTAAGTAGTTAGGAATACCAATACAAAAGTTTGGTTCAACTGGAAAAATAGTATTCTGGGACAGAAACATAACAGTGAGGATGGGTGATAGTATTCTGGGACAGAAACATGACAGTGAGGATGGGTGATAGTATTCTGGGACAGAAACATGACAGTGAGGATGGGTGATAGTATTCTGGGACAGAAACATGACAGTGAGGATGGGTGATAGTATTCTGGGACAGAAACATGACAGTGAGGATGGGTGATAGTATTCTGGGACAGAAACATGACAGTGAGGATGGGTGATAGTATTCTGGGACAGAAACATGACAGTGAGGATGGGTGATAGTATTCTGGGACAGAAACATGACAGTGAGGATGGGTGATAGTATTCTGGGACAGAAACATGACAGTGAGGATGGGTGATAGTATTCTGGGACAGAAACATGACAGTGAGGATGGGTGATAGTATTCTGGGACAGAAACATGACAGTGAGGATGGGTGATAGTATTCTGGGACAGAAAACATGACAGTGAGGATGGGTGATAGTATTCTGGGACAGAAACATGACAGTGAGGATGGGTGATAGTATTCTGGGACAGAAACATGACAGTGAGGATGGGTGATAGTATTCTGGGACAGAAACATGACAGTGAGGATGGGTGATAGTATTCTGGGACAGAAACATGACAGTGAGGATGGGTGATAGTATTCTGGGAAAGAAACATGACAGTGAGGATGGGTGATAGTATTCTGGGACAGAAACATGACAGTGAGGATGGGTGATAGTATTCTGGGAAAGAAACATGACAGTGAGGATGGGTGATAGGTATTCTGTGAGGATGGGTGATAGTATTCTGGGACAGAAACATGACAGTGAGGATGGGTGATAGTATTCTGGGACAGAAACATGACAGTGAGGATGGGTGATAGTATTCTGGGACAGAAACATGACAGTGAGGATGGGTGATAGTATTCCTGGGACAGAAACATGACAGTGAGGATGGGTGATAAACATTCTGAGGACAGAAACATGACAGTGAGGATGGGTGATAGTATTCTGGGACAGAAACATGACAGTGAGGATGAGGATGTATCTGTGATAGTATGAGGGGACAGAAACATGACAGTGACATGATGGGTGATAGTATTCTGGGACAGAAACATGACAGTGAGGATGGGTGATAGTATTCTGGGACAGAAACATGACAGTGAGGATGGGTGATAGTATTCTGGGACAGAAACATGACAGTGAGGATGGGTGATAGTATTCTGGGACAGAAACATGACAGTGAGGATGGGTGATAGTATTCTGGGACAGAAACATGACAGTGAGGATGGGTGATAGTATTCTGTGAGGATGGGTGATAGAAACATGACAGTGAGGATGGGTGATAGTATTCTGGGACAGAAACATGACAGTGAGGATGGGTGATGGGTATTCTGGGACAGAAACATGACAGTGAGGATGGGTGATAGTATTCTGGGACAGAAACATGACAGTGAGGATGGGTGATAGTATTCTGGGACAGAAACATGACAGTGAGGATGGGTGATAGTATTCTGGGACAGAAACATGACAGTGAGGATGGGTGATAGTATTCTGGGACAGAAACAAACAGTGAGGAGTGTATTCTGGGAAAGATGAGGTGATAGTATTCTGGGACAGAAACATGACAGTGAGGATGGGTGATAGTATTCTGGGAAAGAAACATGACAGTGAGGATGGGTGATAGTATTCTGGGACAGAAACATGACAGTGAGGATGGGTGATAGTATTCTGGGAAAGAAACATGACAGTGAGGATGGGTGATAGTATTCTGGGACAGAAACATGACAGTGAGGATGGGTGATAGTATTCTGGGAAAGAAACATGACAATGGGTGATATGATTCAGAAACATGACAGAGAGGATGGGTGATAGTATTCTGGGACAGAAACATGACAGTGAGGATGGGTGATAGTATTCTGGGACAGAAACATGACAGTGAGGATGGGTGATAGTATTCTGGGACAGAAACATGACAGTGAGGATGGGTGATAGTATTCTGGGACAGAAACATGACAGTGAGGATGGGTGATAGTATTCTGGGACAGAAACATGACAGTGAGGATGGGTGATAGTATTCTGGGACAGAAACATGACAGTGAGGATGGGATGACTTGGCATGGCGTAACCTCACATGACTTGGCCCTTTAATTTTAAAACACAAGCATACCATAAGATAATCATAAGGACATCAAAATCCAGTTTAACCAACTTACTTGAAAGACAGAATAAAAAATAAATTGCAACAGAAATCTAGCTAAGTTGCACCAAAAATCTGAATGCAGGTATTGGTCTGGTATGGCAAAAGATGGCCTCTACATGATAGTCTGCCCAGGTATGGAGGTGCTGCAATAGCAACATGGTGTCCTTGTATTCCTACATGCTACAGACTCATAGTTTCTGCACTACATCTCACCATTGCTCACATGTGGATATCTTCAGAGATGATCACATTTCTGTACTTGAAACAAAAGAAACATGAAGGCAATGGACTTTTGTAATTTTGTAATGGCTTTGCATATCTAACTCTTTGAATGAAATTGTGCTAAGTCAGTATTTCTGAGTAACAGATTATTTTCTCACACATAATCAATTGCTTTAAAATCAAATTTTGACTTTGATGTGATGCATCACTCCATGAAGATATGAAGACACCTTGTCAGGTTAATTTTTGAATCAACAAGTCTGTACAGAACCCTCAAACTATTTCAAATAATCAAAATACTGGTTCAAGTAATTTCAATGGACAGTGACATTACTAGAAATACTACATTGTGCATTGTCACCTTTGTGACACTAAGTTTTAAATGATGATCGGTCAATGTCCTAAAATTTGAACCAGTCTGAAATCCTGAGAAGACACTTTATATACCATACCAGAACATACACACAGACAGCATGTAGAATGTTGAAAAATCAGAACAAACAAAAATCAAACAAAAATTCTTTGCATCCTTACAAAACAGCTGTGTTCCCTGGCCATTGAACAAATCTAGGTGATTCCTGAAAACAGATTCACAATGTTTGAGATATTTAAACTCAAGTTACCAAGGGAGTGTAGATGCTTCTATCGAAGGGTTTGTTGGCAGAAGGAGAGTCGCTAACGCGTGCCTTCGTGCAAGCACAGTGCTGAAGATAGAAAAGCAAAACATGTACAAAATAAGTCTAAAAAAGGCACAAAGAAGTCTAAGTTTCCTCCCTATCAGAACTATTAAATAGGTATTGATCCTTGTAAAGGGTCATATGTATTACTGACATATCAAGTTCTTGATTGGAAATGATCTGATCAACATTTCTACAGCACATACATGAGATGTCAAAGATTTCATTGGATGAGTGAGTTTAACACTGTTTTGACCACTAGTTCTGTTTTACCATGGCATTTCAGTGTAGCTTGACATGCAGGTGTCAGAGAACCTCTTTCAGAGACCCACAAACATTGGGTACGGCATAAACACACCATGCAGCATATTCAATAGGATTTAAACCCATGAACTGGCACAACAAAGGGATGCAACTCTGCAAGTGCAGAGCCTTGGACAAGTGGTCTATGGGTCTCATCACTTTACTCCTGAAGCCCAGGCTCTTCTCTGGCTTATCACCATGACTACTGTAGAGCCTCATGTATAACAGGCAGTCATCACGAGCTTCAGTTACAAACAACAGAATGACTATCTTGATACAAGGAAGCAAGGCATTTAGTGTGGCTTATGTCTAATTTCTGTGTGGAAAGCAAACAAACTGACAGCTGTTCCCAATATTGACAGAGGCTGTGCTGTGCTATTGTTCAGCACCCTGTCAACATGGGCATCTGCATTACAAAAAGGTGCATTACTGAGAGAATATTAGACTGACTGACGAGTTGTAAACATTAATAATACAATATCACTTAGTATACAGTTAAATCAGTCTACAGACACAGAAACTTCACACATTACTATAAACAGCTACATTAAAGAATCCAGACCAAACAATCCAGTGACTGATGTATAGTCTCTGATAGAAGCAAATCTCCTAGTGCATACACCCAATCTACCTTGTAGCCTCTACTGATAAGCAGAGATTACTAGGGACCATTTCTAAACTGGAACCCTTCCAGTACCTACAAGGTGCATCTACATGTATAGTCAGTGGGTAGGGTATTACTGGTAAGCTGTTTTCAGCAACATGCCAGCAGTATCTCAGCAGACACCAGAAATGGCCCTTACACATGTAGGGAGTTGAACCTTAGGTTTAACAAGCACCTTAACCACTTGCCTAAACCACCATCTCTAAAGATCCATGATTACAGGTCTTGTTACACCACAACAGATACCACCATGACAACTGTATTAGCAGCATAACACAGACCATCATTCCGGGTTAATTACAGCAAGCCTTCGTGCAAGCACATAGCTGTAGAGGTGTTAGGGAACATTACAATCTGCCAAAATAAGTTTGCTTCATGAATGTTTTTTACAAACAGGCATATGTTAATAAACAAATTTTAACTTGACTAACACATTTGCAAAACAAATTTTATAGTCACACACACTTGCTACTCATGTTTCACATCCAGATGTTTAGATCCATGGAAAACATTTTTCATCACCAACAATCTTCCATGCATTAAAGGTGCATTATTAGATCTTCAATGTTTATGCACTGTTTTCTTTATATTCTTGAGGACCAATATTTGACCTTCAGAAAATCTGATTTAGCACAGACAGCTGTGTTACACAAGTGCTGTTTATGTGAATAGCTGACATCCACTCCATGCATCAGTTTATACTAAACATTAATAACAAGTGAGACTGGAGACTGTTAGTTGTTGACACACAGGACAGACTTGAGATGGAAGTGGGTTCACCATGCACACACAGAACAACCACAATATTCAGGATACATCTACTACAAAACTACAACTGTTGCTTTTTCTAACGTTCACATTACTGTGGCTCTACTGGTCCAAAATACTACTGCTGCTGCAACTATTTACAATATCATCTACTATTAACACCACTACTACTTCTACTGGTATATATACCTTGTTCATATAAATTTGTGCATATATATTTGATTTTACAGCATGTAACACCTAGCATGCTATGAGAAGGTAAACTTTGCTATACTTCTGGATCTAAGTAAGAGTAGTCTCTGCACCTTGTTATGTACCCTGACATCTGAGAAATGTGAAACTTTCTAATAGAATTGTTGTGACTACCATTTCCACTACCACTACTACAACTACTACTACTACTACCTCCACCATCACAACCACTTTGACAGACCATACCACAACCTCTACCGCTACAATGTCTATTTCTGGTCCACTACAACTTTATCAATTTCCCAGGGTATTTTTAATATCCATGATGATCTCAAATATGTTATGATTTTCAAAAGATTTATTAATTCATGGCTTCTTTTTCACATTCACTGGGTTCATGTGGTTTTAGTTCCAAAACTGTAGGGTCAGTACTTGATGTTTCTTTTCTTGAAAAAATAATAATTTCACATGCAAATGATTAAGAAAAGGAAAAATGATTACTTCTGTTACTAGGGCCTATATTGTTTCATTGCTGAAATTATTTAACTGGCACAATGTGTATAAGAAAAGGACCCTTAAAATGTACATTTTCTTCAACATTTCGGAAATTTTGAATCAGCAGATCAGTGAAGTAATCATACAATAACTGACCATCAAACGTAATGTTGATGCACCAGCATCATTCAACTATCCCATGTCCTCTATCAATGGCAGGCACTGATGCATGCCACCATATCTACTATGTGGTTCTGTAAATGCTGCAATGGCTGTTAACATTGCTTATTCTCGTAGAACTTTGACCTACATAATTTGACCTGCACCAAATCATATTTCTTAGGGCTTTTAAGAAATGAGTCTCATGTTAGAACATTGCTGAGCCAATCTTTACAAATAGATATTTCTTTTTGTTGGTTTAGACATGTTAAAGTGAAACATATCTCTTACAGGAAAAATATCTGATCATAAGTCAATGACAATTAAAACTAAAACAGTAAATAAGAAAAAAAAAATCTATGTTTCAACATGAACATAAAATTACCCCAAGAAGTTCAAGGATTGAAAAAAAGATACTATTTGGGTGACAGCTGTTTTAATTACAAGATGATAGGACATGTACTGGAAGCACCAGAAGGTTTAGCATCCTCCGACTCACCAAGAGAGACATGGACAAGTCTCAGCTGGAAGCACTTTGTTACTGTTATTGTTGAATATATTTTAGGTGTGCTGAAAAAACAATCAACAAGACATCACTCCTCAACTGATAAACAAGCAAAACTCACTGTGACCACTGGACACTTCCCCCTAACTTCAACACTCCTGATCAATCTTATTTTTAGCAAAATCTAATTTCAAGTAAATAATAAGCATATCTGATATTAATGAGAGGATTAATTTTTAAAAAGATTGGGGTAAACAATAAATGACGTTTCTACCATAGATTTTTCACCATGTAAAATATTCACTTATCAGATTTGAATTAGCAGGGCTCCAGATAATTTTTCATCAGGAGTACGTACTCCTTATTTTTTCAATTTTTTCGTTTCATATATGCACCACAACACTGCAATAATCAATAAAACAATACATTTTCAGATAAATACGTCTATAAAGGATTCTAAGACCGTACACCATTGCTGTGGTGCGTTTCTGCTATGTTTTCTAAATTATTTCCTACCGTATCGTGCTTATTTTATATCCGTACATACGCCGATACGACCCTTATCTGGAGCCCTGATTAAGGCATACCAGTTAATTGTGAATTATTGTGAAAAATGGTGAATATTACACTCTAAACCTAGAATGAAAAGATACAGACAAGCAAACGTTACAAGAATGATTGACAACCAATGGTTAGTTACATCAAAGACATATCTAATGATAATTTACAATGTTGAAAGCTAGCAAGCCAAGGCTTTACAAGTACATAAGGGGACATACACTTACAACTTTTTAGAGCAATAACTGGCAATAAGGCAATAGTTTGCTGGAATGAAAATGTATTCTGCTCCAATTTATATTTTCCTGTTGATACACATCCAGTAAATAAAAGTAATCTTAATTTTGTCAAGTTTGTCATACTTTCAAACACATAAAATCATATTTGGTAATAATAACTGAACAATATTAGTAGTAGGTGTGTTTATGCAGAAAACTTTAATCAAATTCTTCTGCAATAAGAAAGCAATATGTGCATTGTTACAGTATATATGCCAGTCAATTACACAGCACAAAACGTCATACAATCATTATCAGATTATGTCCAAGTGGTTTTGGTGCTAAATGACACACTCAGCAATTTTCCAGCTATATGACAGTGGTCTGAAAATAACAGGCTAGACAAAACATGTGACTGACGTCATGGGCATCAATCTATGCAACTGACATACGATGACAAGCATCGACATAGTCATTGAACCTGACAACCTGATCCTGTTAGTCGCCTCTTATGACAAACCTTATCTGACAAACCTCAATTCTAATTTCTAACCCAGATCTTTACCGGTAATCTGAGACCATACATTAGGTATATAATCTAGTATATGGTCTCTACGGTAATTTTGTACAAGTATTTGTTACATGCCATATATAAGTCTACAGATATATCACATAGTGTAGATATATGGTATAGTATGCTTTTCCATATTTTTAATAAAAATGCCTAAATTATAGACAGAGGTTGATATCGTGAAGACAAAATTACAGATATAACATATAACGGATAACGTATATGTACATGCATGTTTCGATGCACATGGCAATGATCCTGATATATCTAGCTAAATGGTGGCCTGTGGTGGCCCAGAAAGTGAGAATCTAAGATTCCGTGGTGAATGGAATTCTCTTTCTTCTAGCACATCACATAATACTTGGTAAAACTGGAACTACAGTTGAACATCATTGTGTTGTTGTAGTCGTGAGGACCTGGGAAAACGTTTGTGCTATCCGGGGCTGAAGTAAAACTAAGTACCCTCCTAGTTCATATGAATAAACTCGTATTCCAGCCAAGCCCTACACCTTGGTATAGTGCAAAGTCGTCTAGTTATATGCTGGACTAAGTACCCTCCCTACAACCTGACAATGTGGATATTTATTTGTCATTGATCTATTCAGTACCTCCTACAATCGTCCTCTCGGTGACAGTATTTTATTTAAACTAGGATTACACTGACGATCAAATTAACAGTTGACTCGAACTAGAAAAACTGCCGCAGTGTCTGTCGGTGTCGCTGCTTCAAGACCGAAGGCAAAGTATTTGGGGGATTAATCTACATCTTCACATCCTCCATTACCAGCTGTTTACTGTACTTGTAGTTGTATATTGCACCTGTTACCTGTAGTGTAGCTATAAATGTTGTGATTGAATCCACTAAATAAATTTACTTCTCTGCGTTGTTTACAGCAATAATGGAGTAATCATTGAAGATGTATTGCTTAAATTAGTTAGTACGAGTTATCGTCGTCTTTCGAGCAAAATATCTGTAGAATGTTTAGAAATAATTGTATATTTTCTATATGATATTCATTAATAGAAATATGTGAAATAATTTGTTAAATATCAAGAATAAGTTTACTATGTTCACGCAAAGAAATAAGTAAGGGAGCAAAGTATTTGTGCTACAACTATTAACATTACGAATAATAAATCTAACAATCATATAATTAAACTTGAAAACAAAAATACGTAAATGCAACGATATATTATTAATGTACTTATAGAAGTATAAATGCCAAATTTTACTTTTAAAACTGAATTATGATCAGTCAAGATTTCTTAGAAGCTTCACTTTAAACATCAGTTCTAAGGGTATTCGATATTTTGCGACAATATTTAGACTGGGCTCTGTCTTTGCATAGCACTTACTGAAAGTCTAACGCTTTAGACTTGCTTTGCAATCAGAACGGTCAAATTGTTCTGTTTGCCAAAACTGGCGAAAAAGGTCCTTTGAAAAGCCACTCATATTAAGTTGGCAAATATACAGGATATGTCACAAACACATTCATTGTGTATGGTATATTAGGGACCGTTCATAATTTATGGATAAACAAAATTGATTACCTCCCCAGAACAAAGTTCACCCCCAAGCCTACAACTTTAGGGGCTACAACTTCTTGGTTATAATTATATTGCATATATATAGGACGACGTTTACTATGTGTAGCAGGGCGTGGAGTCATCCCACAGATGACATCCTTACCTTGTCAGCTTGCTGACGGGGTTAACCTCTTTGGTCATGTGGACAAGGCTACATATGCAATAAACAAGATGTTGTTATCCATGAAGTCTTATGCTTCATTATTGACTCACCAACTTCTAGTATGCCGATCAAACAATTAGTCCTATGCGTTGTCAGATAGTTTATTTAGATACACACGTGAGAGAGTTTAGTTTTACGCCGCACTCAGCAATATTCCAGCTATATGGCGGCGGTCTGTAAATAATCGAGTCTGGACCAGACAATCAAGTGATCAACAGCATGAACATCAATCTGTGCAATTGGGAACCGATGACATGTGTCAACCAAGTCAGCGAGCCTGACCACCCGATCCCGTTAGTTGTCTCTTATGACAAGCATGGGTTACTGAAGATCAATATTCTAGCCCTGACCTTCACCGGTCAGATACACACGTGAAACTCTATATATAACTGTGATGAATGATATCGAACGTCAGTATTATTTCGATCATTAAATGTTTGTTCTATGATTAATTTGCTCCACAACGATGCAACAGCTGAGTGCAAGTTTGCCGTGTGGTACAGAGCAAGGATTCACTCTATATTGTACATAAATTCTGCCAGGCTTTGTAGATTCCACAATAGGCTACATGATATACGTGTTGTCTAGATGTGACGCTCCGTGGTATTCTAGCTGAACACCAGTTTCAGGGGCATGCCTTTCCTGATTAACATATTGTGCTAGGCCTGGTCAAATTTTGATGATTAAAGTTAACACTAAAAACACCCGCGTTAAGAATTTACTCTGCACAGGTGAGGTGAAATTGGATTTAACGTCGTGCTTGAGAATATTTCGCTAATTAATATGACGACGTGCATGCGCGCGTGTGTGTATGTGCGGCTGCTTGTACTAGCCCAGTCTTAAGCTGCATGGTTTTATAGTGCTAGCCCACTGAGATACCATGCCGCAGTGAAACATGAATACCCCACTCAGACACATTATACTGACTCCGAGCCGACCAGTCCTTGTTGTACCCATTAATGCCGAGCGCCAGGCAGGGACCAACAAGTACCATATTTTAACGTCTTTTGGTATGACGCGGTCGGAGATTGAACCCACGACCTTCCGCTCTCCGGGCGGACGCTCTAACCACTACACCACGGAGGCGGTCTACTCTGCACAGACTGCTTGCTTGAAAGCTAGTGTAGGTATATCGATCGTTTTGGTAACAAAAGGCGACAAGTTAACATGCAAGCATAGAATGAATGCAGATATAACCTTATGTGATATGTATAGATAATGATATAAACATATCACGGATGAGTTGGTTATTATGTGATAATAAGCTTACACTTAGCATACCCTAACATCTGTACAACTGGATACAACATGACGTAGGCCTACAGAGCCCCGATCAGGATATATATAGAAATGGGAACATGGAACATACGGCCCGGCTGTTACTGTGTATGGTATATTTAATATATTTATACACATTACGCTGCTCATCACAGAAAAATGTTGGGATAGATGGCGAGTGTATTTGAGCTGACACCATATCAAAGGTCTTTTAAGAGGTCTCTGATTTGACCGTTGTGAAAATACCTTTAAACATTCTGGAGGATTAATCAGAACTTTTGATCATTATCAATATTCTTGAGAATTTAGATGGTTTTGGGGGATGTCGGAAAACAAGTGAGTGAGTGAGTTTGAGTTTTAAGCTGCTTTTAGCAATATTCCATCAATATCACGGCGGGGGACACCAGAAATGGGCTCCACACATTGTACCCATGTGTGGAATCGAACCCGGGTCTTCGACGTGACAAGCGAACGCTTTAACCACTAGGCTGTACTGTTTGTTTTCTTTTGAGAAATTAAACAATATGTGTAATCTTGAAGGGGTGACCAAAAAATACACTTCCGTATTGAGACTAATAAATGATTCCGGTAAAGTTTCTCCCCTGACATTATAATAAACCTATTATGAAAACAATAAAACTGTAAAGTAAAATTTGTCTAATTTCTATCACAACCGCTGTGAAAGCTGGAAAGCGAGCAATGGTGTCGTCTGCAGCGCAACATTTACGCATAACCACCAATAAAGGGCAGATAACTCTAAATTAGTAGCTTGAAAACGTGACCTCGGTGGTAGAAACACTGTGCGAGCTCATTACAGGAGTCAAAGGATATGGGACAGGGCATCAAGTGATTCTGTCTGGATTGTGGAGATGACAATGGCAGCAGAAAATAGCCGGCGACATGGAATATATATCACTCCATTTCAACAAATGGTTGCATCATGTACCGGAGCCATGCTCACCTCTATTTCAAGTAAAGCCCTACTTTTTGCCCCATTACCTGGCAGTTTAGCCTTGATCTGTTAATGTTTGACTAATGCCAAACAGTCTTATGGGCACGTAACAATTTTGAGTGCAATATAGTCAGAAGTGAAGCACGTTATTTATGTACACGTGGTGTGATACGCTTATGTAGTAATGGGGTTAGACATTAAATTGTCACTGTTTTCTACTTCAACTAGTACTTGCCTGATGCAACCTGTACTTCTATTATCAAAGATGCTTCTAGTCCTGGATTTGTAGATAGGTTATTAGCCACTGTCAATACAGTGTCCAAGCCTTTTTATCACAGCTTTCTTTATTCTTGTCATTTTTGTACATTTAAAAATAGGACGCTCATATCGTACTAAAATAAGAGAGTGCATTCTAATAAAAAAATAAAAGTGACTTGTTATGTCAGACATCTGATGAAAGAATTCATGTGTATTTACATGGGTCTCATGTTATGACTAAAGCATTAATAAAGGTTATTATTTACATGTAAATAATGGAATTAATAATGCAAAACAAATTTCAGTAAAGGATCTTGATAATACATCCTATAGGTAGCAAAGAATAGATGCCAAATACTAAAAAGAATAATGAATACTGATAAAAGTGTCAGTACACAAACAACACCAATTTCTCTAAAATAACAATCCCAATAAAGAATGCCATGTATTCAACATTTTAACAGGTTATTTTGATGTATATTTGCTTTATTGATCCATTGTGCAATACAAACTTGAAGTACATAACACATTCATTATTTCATTCCTCTTGCAGCAGAGGACATTTTCTATGTGATGTTTTGGAATGCATTGCACATGTTGTTGGTGTTTTGTGAATATCTATACATACCTGACAGCAATGCTAATTGCATTTCAGTGACTCCTTTTGATGTTGTCAAAATTCGGCTGCAAGCTCAGAGGAAACCATTTGTAAAGGGGGACTGTTTTCTCTACTGCAATGGTCTAATGGATCACATCTGTGCTTGTTTAAATGGCCAGCCTGCTTCGTCTAGTCAGTGGTACAAGCAGCCAGGGGCATTTAATAGCACAAAGGTTGGTGAAATACTAGTATAGTGTTAACAAACTGGCATACAGGCCATCCAGGGATAGGAGTGTTAGTTTTTCAAGTATGTAACACAGGCCTACCATACAAACGGTGAACAAATCATCAAAACTGAACTCATATACACCAATACAGAACAAAAATCACCAAAACTGCTACAATATCCTCTAATACGGAAACAATACATCTGTAATGGAAGACAAATCGTTTGAAATGGAAACAAAACTCGCGTATCAGCTACAAGAGCGCGCGGGAACGGTCGCCGAGCGTACAAACCGCATTCATAGCATCCCAACACGGCAGTCATAGCATCCCGAAACGGCATACAAATCGTCAAAGATGGCGGCGAGGGGAGACGAATAGGCTTTGGTATATAATTGTTTTTCGTCACTATGAGTCTAATCTTGAAAATTTGATATCGGGATGTAGTGCATAAACCCTCTGTTGTAGTAAGCTTCAAACCTATGTCCATACTTCTCAGTGTCAGGCTTGCAATTCTACACAATTTGGTCCCTCGTTCGACCGAATAGGATTTCTTGTCAACATGCCGCGGTCCTGTTTCTCTTCAGTTTTGTAAATAAAGTGTTCATAGCGTCACATTCAACATTACTATATTTTAGTGATTTAAAAAGTTTACAAAAACTTTGTTCATATTTTCTGTGAACTGCATATATAAGTGATCATTTTTAAAGTGTACGAGTGCAAACTCAATCCACTGATTAGGGCAGGGATTTCTGTTTCAAGTCCACAGGAGGCGACTTCTTGAGACTTACAATAACAAAGACGGACGCATGTTTGTACCTCAAGTTTAGCTTTATTTTTTGTTAAATGATGTAAAATGTTTGTGATTGCATGGAATAGTTTGAAGTACACGGAAAAGATAAAATTGCAGAATGATAAAATCTTCCTGACACACAATTCACAGTTGAAATTATAAGCAAGTTCATGTTTCCTTCTCTGATGAGAACGCAATGTTATCCGATATTTGAACTTCTCTTTATATGCATACACTCAAACGTTGGAATTTTCGGAAGGTTCGGTATCACAGAGATATCTGAAAGAAATATATTCACTGAATGACTTCATAAAAGTAAGATGAAACTAGAAGATCTTCGTCTGAGAACATGACCATACATGCATAGTGAAGTGGTGGCATACAAACATACAAACTAAGAAGAATATGTCAGATGATGAGAGGACTGACACGTCTCTCTCAGGAATCTGTGAATACAAGTTTGAGAAATTAAAAAAAAGGCAGTTTGGGAAGTCAAAGTAGAAATGATCACTTAGATATGCAATTCACGGAGAATGAACAAAGTTTTTGTAAACTTTTTAAATCACTAAAATATAGTAATGTTGAATGTGATGCTATGAATACTTTATTTACAAAACTGAAGAGAAACTGTAGCACGGCATGTTGACAAGAAATCCTATTCGGTCGAACGAGGGACCAAATTGTGTAGAATTGCAAGCCTGACACTGAGAAGCATGGACAGAAGCTTACTACAATAGAGGATTTATGCACTACATCCCGATATCAAATTTTCAAGATTAGACTCATAGTGACGAAAAACAATTATATACCAAAGCCTATTCGTCTCCCCTCGCCGCCATCTTTGACGATTTGTATGCCGTTTCGGGATGCTATGACCGCCGTGTTGGGATACTATGAATGCGGTTTTGTACGCTCGGCGACCGTTCTCGCACGCTCTTGTAGCTGATATGCGAGTTTTGTTTCCATTTCAAACGATTTGTCTTCCATTACAGATGTATTGTTTCCGTTTTAGGGGATATTGTTGCAGTTTTGGTGATTTATGTTCTGTATTGGTGTATTTGAGTTCAGTTTTGATGATTTGTTCACCGTTTGTATGGTAGGCCTGTAACAGGACATTCATTAAGATGTTAAGATGATGCCATTTAGAAGGTAACTGTGGCAACAAGAATTCTGAGTGTAAGTAAACTTAGGCTCAGTATTATTCTTTACACTGCTATACTGAGTCTAACAAACCCAAGTAGAAAGTCACGTCAGCTTACTTTGAGCGACCTATGACCGTCCAATCAAACGCGAGACAGTCAAACAGATTTAACCAATCAGACAACAACTTGTTAGGGTTCGGCGGGACTTACAAAAACAGTATTTGAATTTTCTCTTCCCTGGTCGCTGACACTGATCTATAAACAAAAAAACCAAAATCCACATAAAACACAGATATTTGACCTGCAATATATACGCTTAGGGGTTTCTGATGACATGGTTACTATTAGCCTACATTTCCGCAAGATGACATCCTTGAATATTGACAAAACTGCTATTTTCAGCGATCGCGTCAAAAATAGCATTCAGAATCGTTCGAGTTTTTGAGGTACAGGTTCAAATGGTATGTGCGATTGTTAACTTTTGTGATTTGGTAAGCTGTGTTCTGATTGGTCAGTCCAAAAGGTTAGACCTTCTACTAGGGTTTGTTAGACTCAGTATAGCAGTGTAACGAATAATACTGAGCCTAAGTTTACTTAGACTGCAATAATTCTTACAGTTTAACTTTGAACTTTGTTTATGCCCTACCTCCATCTAGATTATGAATGGTCACAAAATGTAAAGTTTGCCCCTTTCTTTTTCAATGAAATTGATAATACCTGTATTTATTTGTGAGTCCCCTCCAACTTACATTGTATTCATTCTGTACATTAATTGTCATATGTTCATCATTTTCCAAAAGGATAATATGTCATTGGCTTCATATATTGCCTATTTTCACAAGGTTTTGTTCTTAAAAACATTAAATTTCGGATTAGGGAAGGGATGGACTTGGGTTAGGGTAAGGGGTGGACTTGGTGATTTGGGAAGGGGTGGGATCAGTTGTTAGGGAAGGGTGGACTTGGTGGTTCGTAAAGGGGTGCATTTGTGGATTAGGGTAAGGGGTGGACTTGTTGGTGAGGGAAGGGGTGGGGTTAGGTTAATTATGGACTTGGGGGCTGGAAAGGGGTGGACTTGGGGATTAGGGAAGGGGTGGACTTGGTGGTTAGGAAAGGGTGGACTTGTTGGGGAGGGAAGGGGTGGACTCGGGGATTAGGGAAGGGGTAGACTATCCCTCCCGTCAGGGAGTTATGAAGGTTACCGGAAGATTGGATTGAGATCTATCCATATGAGTTGTCTTCTTTTGTAGGATGCCTTTATTCATATCGTCCGCAATGAAGGTATAGCATCGCTATGGAGTGGCCTACCACCTACTTTGTGAGTATATAGCTATGGTGGCGGAAAGCACTGTATGTCTAAGTTATAAAATTTGCTCTACCCTATGTGTAAGATACTCAGTCATTAATAGGGGTGGGTATTGCAGAGAATTTTCATATTGCGATATATTGCGTTGCAAAAGCATGTATTGCGATATGTATTGCAATATATTGCATGAAGTATTTTTAAACAAAAAACTACTTATAATCGAGTTAATTCTTGATTTATAGAGCAAAAACACAACAAAATCACTAGGCTTGATTAAGCTTTAATAACAACTTTTAATCAAGATAAAATAAAAACATGAATAATATTTGGCACAAATAAAAGGACATATCCGAAGATTTCCGAGTGCAAGTCAAAATACCGCTTTTCGATCAGCGTATCGCAATACGTATGGTTTTCATGTCTGAACCGGTAAATACCGGTAAAGCGGTTATATTGCGCAGCCCTAGTCATTAAGTATAATTTTTCCCGGAACTATTGTAGTTATTTGTATGTTTGCATCAAAATGTGTGGGCAATGTGAGGGCATTGAGCAGCCTCCTTTTCTAGCCCTTGGATTCTGATCTTAAGATATTAGCTCATACCCTACCATATTTGATAATTCTCTGGCAGAATTTGCAGGGATTTTGAAGAGAATGAGGAGAGGGGAGGGGGGACATCACAAATGGGTTTCACACATTGTACCCATGTGGGGAATCGAACCCGGGTCTTCGGCGTGGCTAGCAAATGCCTTAACCACTAGGCTATTTCACCGCCCCTGGGTCAGAATGGGAAGCAAAGGGAACAGAAATGGGGATGGGTTCTTGTGTGGCCCAGCTGGAGTGTGTCATTATGCCCAATACACGTAGACCAGTGCTGGACTAATACGTACACCCACTTCCCTCTGTGGGGTCATACTGACAATACATCTTCCTCGTGTTCAGACCACTACTAGTAGATACTTGAACAGATGTCATATGCTTCCTCATCTTCAACAAACAAACATTGCATAAACAATGAATATCGCCTGTCTCACCCGTCTTCCATTCCAGGGTGATGGCAGTACCAGCTACTGTTATATATTTTACGTGTTATGAACAACTCAAAGTCGCTTTCAAGTACCAAGATTCCAAGCCATCTGATTGGTGGATCCCAATGTTCTCCGGGGCTCTTGCAAGAGGTATGTAAACAATCTACTGTTCCTGTTTCCATGGTAACCTGTAAGACCCTGATGACTTGGTAGAAATTGGTAAAATATGCTGCATAGTCAAGATGCTATATACCATTACACGATGTCATGTCACAATACTGATGATAAACCAAACTAACACATGAGTTAACATGGTTCAGACTGTGTAAACTGAACAGATTATTAGTTTTATCAAAGATTATGTGGATACTTCTTCTTTCAAATATTTTGCAAATATGTTGATATTGGGAACTGATTCTTGTACAATTATGAAATTATTATTAAGTTTTGTCTTCACTGTTTCATGTTCATGTCAATGAACGCAACACAATCTAAACTCTGGCAAATATCAAAACAGTCCTGTGAACATTTGTTCCTACATTTGTCCAGTTCAGTGTATCACTCTATTTGGTCATGTATTTTATTCTATTCAAGTGGGTGTACATGCTTTGCCTCCATAAAGAGTGTTGATGATATGTTTCAGTTTGGGCGGTGTCCTTGATCTCGCCGCTAGAACTAGTCAGAACCAAACTGCAGGCTGAGCAGCTGACGTACAGGCAGATCACAAAGTCTGTGGTCAGAGCTGTCCAGGCTGATGGAGTTCTCTCCCTTTGGAGAGGCCTCGGCCCAACACTGTTACGGGATGTGCCTTTCTCAGGTTAGATATCTAAACATCTGTTCACTCTTGTGTAGGACATTTTTATTTCATTGTTTGCTGGTGTGAGGAGGCTTGCTTGACCCCATGTCATCATTTTGGTGACTGTAATGTATTGCTATTTTGTTTCCGGCTTTCAATTAATCTGTTTCAGTGGACGATCAAATGTTTTGTAATGAAGGATTTTACTGACTAATTAAATTAGCATGATTGTATATAATATACAGAATTTACAGTATTCTTACTCTAAATTTGTTATATATTTTGTATACTTGTATGTCTTTGTTTGCTCCCTTTATACTAGGATTTCAGACTACATACAGAAAATAAATCAGTTTAATGACTTCGTATTAGTTTTGTATCTGAATTGTTTTATTTTGTAACACACCTAAGGTGAAAAGGCCAGTCAAATAAGAAAACTAATCTTGTTCTCACATATGTTCAGAACATTGTCAGTGTTGATTGTCTTGAAAGAGTCAAGTTTCTGTTTGAATTTAGAATAGCTTTGGAAAGTGGCAGTAGTTTGAGGTTTACAAATATGTTTCCAAATTTCACTGGGCAAGTAGGCCATATACAGGTACTTCCATCCTCCCAGAAACTCTACCTCCCTGAAACGTCTTCGATTTTCAAGCCTGTAATTGTCATGTAAAGAACAAGGGGCAGATAACTCTACATATTTCTGGTTAGCTCCCACTTGATATTTTTTACTAGTAATATTTTAATATTTTGACGCAACTGACAATTATGATTATGACAATTGCTTCAAATATGCTCATGTATGTCTTTTGGAATATGTACTAAGTTTAAAAGACTAGAGTAGTCAAAAGGCAGTGTCATTTTTAAAGTTTTTTCTAAAACATTGCTACATCATTGTTAGCTTCTGTGGCGAGGTTACCATTTATTTGCCCTACGTCTATTAGAACACCCTGACCTAACTGAAATACTGGGCAGTCCTGAGTCGCTTGAATGTAGCCTGAATGCTCAGTACTGTCAAGCTGTGGTTCTTGTTGTTGACAGAAGCTAGAGATTTGTTTCATCTGATTTCAGCACTGTACTGGTTTTCCTATGAGAACTTGAAGTCCTATGTATTGTTGACACGAGGGTCGACAGATCTGAACTTTTCCGAGAGCTTTTTGACTGGAGCAACAGCTGGAACAGTGAGTAGAGGAGAATTAGTTCAGTCAGTGAGTGTCAGAGAGACCTCATGTATGGAGTGAGGGAGTGAGCTGGGTTTTACGTCAATTGTAGCAATGTTCCTGCAGTATCAAGGCAGAAGACATCAGAAATGGTCATCACACACTGCACCCATGCAGGGAATCCCATTGGGCTTTCATCGTGACAAGCGACTGAACCACTAGGCTGTTCCATTGCTCCACATGTATGGAACTATGATCTTAGTGTATGGTTGGAGACACAGTGAGTGGGCTTTTGTAGGGATAGTTCTATGCTAAACCTTCCTCTGAGTGGAATTATCCTGACAAACTTTGGCCAGACTGAGGCCAGACTAAACCAATGCTTTAACCACCAGGACAGTGTAGGTGATATGTATGGTCTCCAGCTGGGTCTGAAGTATTCTCAACAGAAACAACAAAGGATCATGATGCTTTAAAAAATGTTATTTGTTAATTTTTGTAGAAGATTGATAAAACAATTCAAGAAAAATATCCTCCATAATGTAAAATATCAATGATCACTAACCATTTTGTTCAGTATTTTACTGGCATCAGGGGTAGACTGATCACTGCCTGGAACACTGATCATGTCCCTCATGAACCTAGTTTCATCCAATGCTCAACACATACAAATGTTGTCGAGTATATATTGTCATTAAGGTGTCACACTGACCCATATGTGTTGTCATTAAGATGTCAAACTGACCAGTATATGTTGTCATTAGGTGTCACACTTATAGTATATGTTGTCATTAAGATGTCGCACTGACCCGAGTGTGTTGTCATTAAGGTGTCACACTTACAGTATATGTTGTCATTAAGGTGTCACACTTACAGTATATGTTGTCATTAAGATGTCGCACTGACCGTGTGTGTTGTCATCAAGGTGTCACACTTACAGTATATGTTGTCATTAAGGTGTCACATTTACAGTATATGTTGTCATTAAGATGTCGCACTGACCCGTGTGTGTTGTCATCAAGGTGTCAAGGTGTCACACTCACACAGTATATGTTGTCATTAAGGTGTCACACTGACCCGTATATGTTGTCATTAAGGTGTCACACTGACCTGTTCATTAAGGTATGTTGTCATTAAGGTGTCACACTGATTAAGTGTATGTGTTGTCATTGAGGTGTCACACTGACCAGTATATGTTGTCATTAAGGTGTCACACTGACCAGTATGTGTTGTCATTGAGGTGTCACACTGACCAGTATATGTTGTCATTAAGGTGTCACACTGACCCGTATGTGTTGTCATTAAGGTGTCACACTAACAAGTATGTGTTGTTATTAAGGTGTCACACTGACCTGTATGTGTTGTCATTAAGGTGTCACACTTACAGTATGTGTTGTGATTAAGGTGTCAGACTGACCCGTGTGTGTTGTCATTAAGGTGTCACACTTACAGTAACTGTTGTCATTAAGGTGTCACACTGACCCGTATGTGTTGTCATTAAGGTGTCACACTTACAGTATATGTTGTCATTAAGGTGTCACACTGACCCGTGTGTGTTGTCATTAAGGTGTCACACTTACAGTATATGTTGTCATTAAGGTGTCACACTGACCCGTATGTGTTGTCATTAAGGTGTCAAACTAATCAGTAACTGTTGTCATTAAGGTGTCACACTGACCAGTATATGTTGTCATTAAGGTGTCAAACTAATCAGTAACTGTTGTCATTAAGGTGTCACACTGACCTGTATGTGTTGTCATGAAGGTGTCACACTGACCAGTTACTGTTGTCATTAAGGTGTCACACTGATCCGTATGTGTTGTCATTGCTGTGTCACACCTACCCGTATGTGTTGTGAATAAGGTGTCAGACTGACCAGTAACTGTTGTCATTAAGATGGCACAATGACCCGTATGTGTTGTCATCAAGGTGTCACACTGACCTGTATGTGTTGTCATAGAGGTGTCACACTAAACATGTCTTTATCCCCTTCATTGGATGAGTCCAGTGTTGAGCTTATTTCTTGTGTTATTCAACTGACATAGTTTTCAGAGTAAACCTTCTCACTCACTCCATGATTGACAGTAGGATTAGAAGAACTTTGCTTCATGTCCTCAGCTTGCTGCCGTGTTAACGCTGCCATTTGATGTGATCAAGACTCACCGCCAGCTGGAGTTTGGGGAGATGATGACTCACTCAGGACCCAATCATAGTAAGTCAGTCGCCCACTAGATCACCTTGTTTCAGGATAACACTACCAGCTGTATAGGACAACTGACCAATCCTGCAGAACTTGCCAATCCTGCAGAACTTGCCAATCCTGCAGGACAACTGACCAATCCTGCAGAACTTGCCAATCCTGCAGGACAACTGACCAATCCATCAGAACTTGCCAATCCTGCAGAACTTGCCAATCCTGCAGGACAACTGACCAATCCAGCAGAACTTGCCAATCCTGCAGGACAACTGACCAATCCTGCAGCAGAACTTGCCAATCCTGCAGGACAACTGACCAATCCTGCAGGAGAACTGACCAATCCTGCAGGAGAACTGACCAATCCTGCAGGAGACCAATACTGACCAATCCTGCAGGAGAACTGACCAATCCTGCAGGAGAACTGACCAATCCTGCAGGAGAACTGACCAATCCTGCAGGAGAACTGACCAATCCTGCAGGAGAACTGACCAATCCTGCAGGAGAACTGACCAATCCTGCAGGAGAACTGACCAATCCTGCAGGAGAACTGACCAACCCTGCAGGAGAACTGACCAACCCTGCAGGAGAACTGACCAACCCTGACCAATCCTGCAGGAGAACCAGGAGAACTGACCAACCCTGCAGGAGACTGACCAATCCTGACTGACCCCCTGCAGGACAACTGCAGGACCAACCCTGCAGGACAACTGACCAGCCCTGCAGGACAACTGACCAATCCTGCAGGACAACTGACCAACCCTGCAGGACAACTGACCAATCCTGCAGGACAACTGACCAATCCTGCAGGACAACTGACCAATCCTGCAGGACAACTGACCAACCCTGCAGGAGAACTGACCAATCCTACAGGACAACTGACCAATCCTGCAGGACAACTGGCCTATGTACCCTGAAAAACATTGATGTTTAGCCTATTGTTTCTTTGAAATATAGGATATGATACAGAAAAAAATGAAAGCATGGATAGTCAAATATTTTCAACTTCCAATAAACCTCTTCTCTGACTCCTTAGATGGTGACTGGCCAAAGACATCCATTTTTTGTCTGAGTAATGATGAACAAAATTAATTTCTTAAGGCTCAATTCTTAAGAACTTTTGGTCAGTTAATGTTTTTTGTATGGAAGGTGTGTGTTTGATGTAGTCTGTCACACAGACCCTGAAACAAATATACCAAATGTAGCCCCTGCAAGTCTAGAATGTGTGGCATGTCTAGATTATCACAGTTTCAGGATGAAGAAAGTCCCTGGGCTCCTTTTTATTGTATTTTATTTTAATTTAATTGTTTTTTTTTCTGTAAAATAAGTTCATTTCAGAGACTAGCTGTTTGATGTTGCAGGTAAGAAGCAGGTCAGCTCCACTTGGCTGCTGATCAGGAGATTGTATCGACAACAGGGTATCCAATCATTATTCACAGGTGAGTTGGCAAAGTAACCCCAGTTGTTTAACATGTGTACACTACAGCCTACTGATTCCTTTAGTGTTGAGTGTTTATGACAGGAAGCAGGGATTGGGATAGAGAACTTTGACAATGGGCCATTTTCATGGATTATTAGCCATTTTCTGAATTTAGAATGGGCCATTGCCTTTGTATCAATAGTAAACTTCAAAATTTTAATGGGCCTTGTTTTATTCTAATGTGCAAAATGGCCCATGGCCCATGGCCCATGGCCCCTGCCTTTCCCAATCTCTGCAGGAAGCATTGTAATTCCTAAATTTAGAGCTTGGCAATACACCATTGTATATATTTACTGATGTTTACATCATGTCAGAGACAGCAGTTAAAATAAGATCTCGATGATGACTCGGAATGATGTTAATAAAAAGCCTCTTTTTCGTAGTTGCTGTGTTTTTTGACAGATTACATCCATCTCTATCATCATTTGCATGGTTTCTGTAGTTTTCCAGTGATAACTAATTGCTTTGTGCATTTCTTTAAAATCTCTGTAAGTAAAGCTGCTACATGTAATATTTGAAAAACAAAAGAATATATACTGAACATCCTTGAAAACGCACCAGTCTAAAATTGTCCATATTTTCATCAAGATGGATTTCAGCATGACAATGATCAATGAATATAACTAACATGAAGTCGAAGGGCATGTTCAGTTGAAAAAATGCTTTAGAAACAAATTCCTGTCCACAGTATGACTCTTAATTCCAAAATGCATCAACATGCAGCCACGCCATGAAAAAAGCGCGAATTTCATTCTGACATATTGTGACATTAAAAGCAGGTGTATGAGAACCGATTCACATTGCTTCACTAACGATTGTGAAACGAGGACAGAGATGCTGAGGTTAACACCTCACGAAAGAGAACGTGCACTAGGCATGATTCAGGTTGGCACCAGCAGCAGGGATATTGCTCGACAACTTGGACTTGGCCACTCCATCATCGTTAGGCTTCATAAACGACATCAGTAGACAGGCAGCACCCGTGACCTTTAATGACCTTGGCAACAACGTGTTACGATGCTCCATCAGGATCGCCATATTGACCATTTCCATATCAGTGATTGAACACTGCCGACTGCTGCACTAGTTCAAGGTTGACGTGGGGGTCATCAGCGCTGACTCCATGTGATGCCGTCTACACGCTACAGGGATCATGCTCGACGTCCTTAAGTTGGACCTATTCTGCCTGACAGACACCGTAATGAGCGTATACAATGGGCTAGCAGGCATTTTCGGTAAAGGTTACAACAATGGCATGGTGTGGTAGTCACTGACGAGTCACGTCTTCATCTACGTAAAGATGATGACGGCCGATCACGTGTTTGGCGTAGACGTGGTGAACGTTATGCTGCTGAATGTGTGGTTCAGACAGACCTTTGGGTGGTGGAAGTGTCATGGTCTGGGGTGGAATAAATTACAATCACAGGACAGCCTTCATGTCCGTCAAGGGAGAGTTAATGCCCTTTATTACCGTGAGCAGATTCTTCAGAATCACATCGTATCTGTCTTCAATCACCGCCAAGATGTCCATACTTTTCAACAGGACAACGCACGGGCACACACAACAAGGCTTTCCATGCAGTATCTGGCCCAGCAACACATCCAGGTTATTCATTGGCCAGCACAGTCGCTAGATGTAACCCCTATGGAGCACGTGTGGGACGAAATTGGTCAAAGTCTTTCGCGGTGACAACAGATGCGAAACATCTGGGAACTTGAGGCTGCACTACTGCAGAAGTGGAATGCCATCCTCAAGAACTCGAATCGGACGCTTATTGACTCAGTGAGGAGACGTTGAACTGCATGTGTCATTTCAAATGGCGGTCACACACGATATTGACTTTTCAATTTGAACCCATGTGTGTTTGATCCTTTCTGACTGTGGAACATTTCAATGAATAAGCGTCTTTTCTGTGTTGTTGTTTTTGTCAGTTGTCCATCTGAAAAAATATCAATTCCTTACACGTGCTTTTAATAATCTGAACTTTTATAAGTGGTGCGTTTTCAATGATGTTCAGTATATTTTTGTAGTGTGTCATTAAGAAGTGTACATTTATTCTGTCGGTAAATTTTTTGGTTCAGGGAATATTTTCCAATAACTGTTTTATTAAATAATTGTATTTATGGTCAGTTTTGATAAGAGTCATGCTTTTGACAAGTTAAAGAGTTACCTCCCTTCCTTTTTGATTGTTATCCACCGTTGCAACACGTCCGTCCATCCGTCCATACATACATCCCGATTATGGTCAACGCAATATCTCTTGCACTGTTGTACCCAATATCTTCAAATTTTGTGACATTTGGGGATTATCACGCAGACATCAGTTGATTTGGGTGACCTTGACCTTATTTTCAAGATCACCATGACTTTGACCACTTTTCAAACTTATGTAAACGCAAATTTTAATACTTATCCAATCTCATGGTATGCACTTCTCTTCTTCTTCTACGACCATGTGTGGAAATGTGCTGTAGGCTAAGTTGAATCAAAAGTTATCTGGCCTCTGTCACTGATCCCTGACCTCTGCCCCCACTCAGATAGCAGTACCTGTCAGTCATCTCAATAAGCGTGCAGTTTGCTCAGACGATCATGTGATGGTCTGTGCCTGTCATTCTCGTCTTGGAGCTGCCAGTAATCTGTGATGTGGGGCAGGTCGGATGGGTATCCATCACGTGAGATAGGATAAGTATATAAATATACAATTTATAGAAAATTTTCAAATTTTTTAACTTATCCTATTCCGGCTCGGGGAATACAACCTTACTCGGGACTGATAAAACCCCGTATTTCCCTCGACACAATGTGGATAACTTATAATACACACTGATACTGACATTGGATATGTGCATCTGCATCTATACATTCAAATCTACTATATTCCTGAAATATTTCTTCATAGGTCGGAGAAGATTCTGAGAAGTGACCATGAAAAAAACTATGTCACATTATGCATGCAAACTAAATTGGCTCCAATTTCTCAAATTTGGTTTGAAATATTCATAAATGAAATTATGAAAACATAATTTATGGAGATCTTTCTTGTGCTGAACCAGTAGTAGTTCAACCTTTCACATTAACAGTAATATTTTGACGAAATCATTTCATGGTGTTTGTTTGACTGCAGTATGCTAACACAGCTGCTCTGTTGGTGAAATTGGAGGAAGTATTAGTGCTGGTATTGGCATACAACCTGCGATATGATCACGATGCTAAAATTTTAGTCATGACGATGAATTGCCAAGGTATTGTGCAATGAAGCTGCGATACAATACGAATCCAGATACAAAGGTCGTTATACGATACATATCACAATGAAAAAATCTTTAATTCTGACACCAACTATAAAACACCTTAATATCAAAACAAAACCATTTTAAAGTATTTCGCAGAAGTTAAGTTCATACACAGACTTTGTGAATGTTAGTAACATGCGAGCGCTATGTCTGTCACAGTTCTTGACGCAAGAATTTCCGAGAAAACGTTTACTTATGAAGGGAAAATAAGTAAGCATATATTTCAATCATCAAACAAAAGTAAGTCTTTTTTCTTGATAGATATCGCAATTCGGCAATATTCAAAGTTAAACATCGATGTATCGTGGCCCATTTGAAGTATCGTATCGGGATATACGAAAATGTAAAAGTTTGTATCGATTCACTGTATCGGCGGCCGATGCATCGATGCGTATCAATGAATCGTCACACCACTAGGAAGTATTCATAAATGTTGTGGAATACATGAGAAATGACTCCACACTCTCAGTGTTGTGTATCTTCTGTTAAGTGTTGGCTGCTCTATACTGACTACCTACTCAACTGATGCTTGAAGCAGGATCTCACTGTGTTGCAGGTATTGTGCCCCGGGTATCCAAGGTGGCTCCAGCCTGTGCCATCATGATCAGCACTTACGAATACTTCAAACTATTCTTCCGGAATCGGAATGACGAGAGAGTAAAGAATCTGTCCAGGGACTGACAATTCTGGACTCATGCCAACCATAAGTGTCTTCCACATTCTAGTATACATGCAGTTGGTGTGAAGTGAGGTAGCTAGATACCTCTGGTTGGATGGATGGATGGATGGATGGATGGAAAGAAGACAGACTAATTTGGTTGGTTGGTGGTTGGATGGATGGATAGATGATAGAAAAAAGACTAGTGTGGTTGGTGGATGTATGGACAAGTTGGATGGATAGATGGATAGAAGACAGACTAATTTGATTGGCGGATGGATGGACAAGTTAGATGGATAGAAGACAGACTAATTTGATTGGCGGATGGATGGACAAGTTAGATGGATAGAAGACAGACTAATTTGATTGGCGGATGGATGGACAAGTTTGATGAATGGATGGATAGAAGACAGACTAATTTGATTGGCAGATGGATGGACAAGTTAGATGGATAGAAGACAGACTAATTTGATTGGCAGATGGATGGACAAGTTTGATGAATGGATGGATAGAAGACAGACTAGTTTGATTGGCAGATGGATGGACAAGTTTGATGAATGGATGGATAGAAGACAGACTAGTTTGATTGGTGGATGGAGTTTGATGGATGGATCCATGTGCGACCTGAATGCCTGGACAATTAGATAGATGGATCTGCTGCCAAATATTTGATAGGTCATGGAAATATGATTCTTGTGACTCCACTAACAAGAACTATGGAGATTCAGGGTATTGATCGTCCCCTCTTTCTTCAGAGCTTAATCAAAAATTAGGTGGTTACAATAAGTAACTGGGTTAATCCTAAATCACATGGTTACCAGATGGATTGAATATTGCTGACTCTCAACCATTTACTCTAAAAACTGAATTTTCAAAATACTTTTACATACATTGAGAAAGATGGATTTACAGGGATTTACATGAAGTCCTGTATTTGTGGGTCCCTGGGACTCTTTATTCTCAATTTTCAGGGGTCCTTGACAACAAAATAGGGGTCCCAGACACTTAAATATTATCAATACTGTTATCGTATTGTGTATCATGATCATCACATTGTTACAGTAATTAAATTGCAAATAATACCATAACCCAGCTAATAGCAAACTCGGTGATAACGTATTGTCACTTGATTGGAATTTTTACAAAAAGTATTTGGACTTTTTCTGAGTCCCTTTGGACGCGTTAATACATTTTGATGCGTCCATTGTCAATTTTTATGATTATAGGACGCAGGAATTCGCATCCTGTAAATCCCTGGTCATGCTGTCATTGCTGGAATGCTGGATGCCATGTTTGTAATATTTTTCAAGAATATTTCAAAGCGATATTCAAGGTCCCTTGAAATGATGTTGCGTGTGTAATCAGAAATACAAGTTATTTTTGGCATTGTCTGAATATATTCAGAAAACTTTGAAGAAGATTTATCCTTGTGAAATCCATTTAGTTACCCATGAAAAGTATACATGATGTTTCATTGTAAGTCATATTATTGAACATGTGGAATAAAGTGAAGTCCATTGACATGGATTATTGCACAGTGCAACCTCCTCCATCACAGAATGTGTGGTTCAGTTGCCTTAGACACATATGACATGCTGAGTTACTTCCCTTAGGTGTGGCAGGATTCTATGACTATTGGGTGATTTGATTTATGATGCTTGGTTTGTCAATCAGTATGTGCCAAATACTTTTGAATCTACTGGCGTAATCTGTACCTTTATCATGTTAGCATCTGTTAGTGTATGCACTTATATTAGCCGACATTATTGGACTGAAATATTTGGGCTTCTTTCACCTGCTAGGACAGATTGATATGACTTATGTACATTTCAAAGTGGCATTAAACCACTCACTCACTCTGCAGCTCACATTGTGCTTTTGCATGTTGCAGATGCTTGGGATGCAGGGGCAGATCCTCACCCCCCAAAATTTCCCAGAGTAGCATTTCCCCTTAACCTTCGGACTTCATGATTTATGTGCAACCATTTTTCTCCCCTTTCCAAATGGATGATAAATTCTGTGAACTTTAGTGTTTTTAGAGTTTGTTCACGACATATGTATCTCTGATCCACCTGTGCTGTGTGTGTGTGTGTGTGGAGGAGACCCACCTTGTGTGTGTATTACCTCATTAATCTGTGAATATGGTTTTACTTCAAGAAGAATTTACAAGGTAGAATCGATCCAACCTCATCACCATCATGATGAGTCTGTTTAGTGGACTATTTGTCCTGTTCTGTGTTTCCTCAACATTTAGACATTGTTTAATATTTTGTGGTTTTGTATAACGTAAAACATCTAAGAAATCATTATGACAAGTTCTCTACAACTGAGACAATGATTAGTATCACAGGTATGCTTATCATTAGTGAAGGGAGAGTTTATGAAATATTCTGGATGGGAGAGATGCGAAGATTCTACTTCATGTTACAACCTAAGGCAAAAACTATGTTTTTTATGTATTGTTTGGAACATGACTTTAAGAGGAACTTTATCCCAAATAAATTCTTTATTGGCTGCCATTGTTTAACTAGAATTTTCCTGACTGCTGCTTTAGAGGATCGATTCTACCTTGTAATTCTTCTTGGAGTAAAACCATATTCACAGATTAATGACGAGATACTAATATGTTGTTATTTACATGTGATGAAATGTGTTCAATGTGTTACAGTCCTAAACTGTCATCTGTTTTGAGCAATTCTGTCTTGCTTTGTTTATAAGAAGCGTTAACGTGTTGCCTAGTAACTAGTATGTTTTATTGTTATATTATTTTAGTGTTGTTGTACACTTGCCTCTGTTTCAGTTTAACAGAATATATATATATATGCTTGTGTGGGGGCTGTGACCTTTCCGTGTACTCATATTATTTGAATCAAAATGAATGAAAAATTAGTCAGTCCTATTAGACTAGCCATAGCAATCTTACAATATCAGATTGGCAGATTGGCACATAGAAACACTGACATGGATATTCTGACAGTCTTGTGCTGAAGTCCTCAAAATACATGGAATGAGATTCAAACCCAAGCAGTGACACAGTTGAGTTAGATTACCTCATGCCTAAATTCACAGATCTGCTTGAAAGTCCTTTTTACGTTTCAGTGTATCTTAGTTTTTAGAGTATTTGAAAACAAATACATACTTATAAAATTATGCTTCATTTACAACATTAATAAGCACCATATTATTAGAACTACTCTTGAGAAAATTGTGCTCGGCTTTCAACCTACCAAATGGTGTAATTGATTGTGTTGTGTTGATCAATTTTAACAAGTTCTGTGGAAGATTTTATGAGTGCTTCCAGTAGAGCTAGATGTGCTCTATATTCATATTATTATTGGTATGATTTATAGTGATATTGATGGCATATCTAGGGCACATAATCTCATAGATAGATCATAGCAACCTGTTAGACTCTGAGCAGCCATTGGTAGCTGGTCGTTTCAGGGACCTGTCACCATCACATATCTGTCCACAAAAGTGACATGTACATATTTATGACATGTATTGTGAATTTTAGATACATGTAACTCTATTTGGATTGAATGTGAAAGATTATCTTTGTTGAAATCAAGTTAAATTTTTGTTAAAATTAACACCAATTATAAGTTTGAATTTTTTTTTTTTTTCTCAAATTCATAATTGTTGTAAAATGGACGAACATCTGGCAAGCTTCATTCCAAGTGATGAGCAGGAATGAGAATATAATGTTTGGATGACAATATAATATGTGGATGACAATATTATATGTGGATGACAATGTTATGTGTGGATGACAATATTATGTGTGGATGACAATATTATGCGTGCTTTTCTCCAAACTCACTCTGTATGTAAATGCCATCAAGCTGCTTTTTCCTCCAGAACTTACTTCTGTATATACAAGGAGGCTATGAACTGGTTTGTAGAGACACGTATAGTCACTGTCAAGGAACTGATTAATACAATCATATATCACTGAGTATGACTACAACATAGCCTGAATAATGTTGTACTTATAGCTTATGCTTATTTTATTTATTCGATGCACGTTTTTCTCCCAGCTGCCAAGATGCATTTGTTGGTGTATTTAAACAGAATCACAAATTTAACGAAAAATGTATTTCTTTGGTGATAGTTTTAAGAGTACGATCTGAATATTGTCACAGTTATTTCAAAGAAATATGGAGACACATCTCTGGGGAAGGTATGTTTTTTGTTTTTCTTATGTCCATTGAAATGTAATTTTATAGTTTATCATTAACGACAGTACTGTTTCATTGTGTACGCCCTCTATTTGTCCAATGTCTATATGTAAATATTGATATCCCAGGTTACTGTGTTGGGACAGGATTTGTTTATCGTAAAACTGTATATCTTGATCAAGTCACAATATGGCTGAAATACTGCTGATGTGACTGAAATTAAACTCACTCACTCACTGGGCAGGATTTGTTTCCTGTGTGATGGGTATGTATTTCTTAGTGAGTTACTGTATGGATGAAGTGATGTACCTGCGGCATAATGGTTAAAGTGTTTATTTGCCATACTGACAGTCCAGGGTTTGATTCCCAGTTTGGATGTCCACAGCTGTGATACTGCTGGAATATTTGTACAAGTTGCACCTCTCTGATTGAGAGGCCACCAGCAGGTCCTGTGTCAAGTGATCAGTATGTCTACAGTCATTGTTATATATGTATACATGATGGATGTCACATTCATTCTTTCTTGCTCATTATCAATGAGAAGATGTTAATTTATGTAAAATAAATCAAATCAAATAAAAGACATATTTTAGGGTAGCAGGTTTATTTGTCTGGCTATCTTGGAGGGTAAAACATGGCAATGTTAACTCTCTCGACGACTGGAAGGTAAAAATATATTATCATTCCAAGTCACCTTCTCCCTCACTCACTTACCATTGTCTGTGCCCTACCTGCATGAACCCTGGTCTGTCTTCCAGTTTTGGTCATCCCTGTGTCTCGCCATGATATTGCTGGAATATTGCTAAAAACGGTGTAAAACCATGCTCACTCACTCACTCCAGTTCTGGGCATCCAAGTGTCTCGCCATGATATTGCAGGAATATTGCTAAAAGCAGTGTAAAACCGTACTCACTCACTCACACCAGTTCTGTGCATCAATGTCTGTATCATTACAAATACAATTCTAACAATCTCAACCCAGGAAAAACATACCCACAGTTTGAGAAGAATCTGAAATGTGCTTGCATTCTTAAGTGATTAAAATACATCTGAGATGATGCTCTAGGGTATTAACCCAGAAGGTATTATGCACTGCCTTTCATTTGTGATTAAAATACATCTGAGATGATGCAGTAGGGTATTATCCCAGAAGATATTATGCACTGCCTTTCATATGTGATTAAAATACATCTGAGATGATGCAGAAGGGTATTATCCCAGAAGATATTATGCACTGCCTTTCATATGTGATTAAAATACATGTGAGATGATGCAGTAGGTTATTTGCCTAGAAAGTATCAACACATCAAGGAAAACAACTGACATCTTAAATGAAAACATGAGTGGTCAGTCGAAATAGAAAAAAAAGGTGTTTTCCAGTATCGACTTGCTTTGAAGTTCTTTAAAAACTGAAATTTAGATAACAGAGGATTAGGTCAGCAGGTCTGTTTCATCATCTGAATAGAATAACCAGTGTTTTGTAAATCTATGTCATTTGATCATATTTACATTTGAAGAGTTGAAACTCAGAGTTGTTTCTCAGACTTGCAGAGTTTCTTATGGACTGGCCATGCCTTTCGTTGACACTCTCTGCTGCAGTAGGACACCTGGAGGCAGCTTGAGCATCTCTTGCAGTCTGGTGATGTGACGCTACAGTTGTTGCAGGATGGGGCTGGCGTGGCTCCAGCTCCAGCTGGAGTGTCTTTGCTTCTTGAGCTGTCACCTCCAGCAAACTTTTGTAGGATTTCAATTCCTTCAGAAAAAGTGTTCTTTTCAAAAGCATCTTTCACGTCCAATGTCTCAAACCCTTCAAGAGGACTCTGTGAAGTGATTCCCCCTGAAACATTGATGTTGTAAATTTGTTAGTTCACCCGGCTTCCGATAGTGTTAATTTTGTTAACTGAAGTACGCAGTACTGTAGGATAAAGGTATAGTTATAATTGTGACATGTCATGCATTTAAAATGTCTTCATGACGGATACAAATTCTAAACTATAAGTTCCCATCTCCTAGCACTTTCATCAAAGAGACAGTCCAACTCTGACTGAAACTACAGCCGAGGGACAGATATTTTTATAGTAATTAATATTATTCAGTCTTATGTCATTCGCACCAAAGACAGAAGAGCTGATTCATGAAAGCATTGAGTAATAATCCCACCTGGATTGTGAATCATGAACTGCTCTAACCGATGCAGGACGGGGTCTGTGTGGGGATATCTTCCTCTCAAGAACGTCCTCCACATCCATTTCTTTTCCTGGGCCATGCGGTGAGAGTTTACCTCCAGAATCAGCATCAGCATCATGTACCCCTGTATTGAACATCTTATAAGTTCATCATGCACATGAAATGCTGGGTAGTAAAGTTAATATTTTAAAGGTCACATGCAACCAAAAAATCAAACATAATTAAAACACAATTATCACTTATTCATGACATATAATATACATGGCTGATTATGAAAAAACATATAAACAAAATTATAAGGGTACAATCGCAAATCAAAAGTGCAATATGTTGTACTTGGGATTACTTCCCTCGAAACGAAACACACGGGATACCGAACCTAGTCAGATTTGGTGGGTGTGCACTCAAGTGTAACGAGGGCTTTCATTGGCTGGTTCATTTGCCGATGCCCACACGGCTGATGTGTGTGTGTGTGTGTGTGTGTGTGTGTGTGTGTGTGTATATAGAGAGGTTGGGTTTTGGAAATACATGCTCATTTTTTGTGTATAATATCTTACAATCAACAGACAGTATTACACGTGCCTGTCTGTGTAATTACATAATGTGACAGAGACCGAATTCGGTCCGTAAATCAATGCGTTTTGTTTATGGTGTATAGCCTGATAGGTGTTAAGTTCAAATTGCATGTGGTCAGTGATCGAAGTTGTGTATTGAATATTGTCATTAACAGACAGGCAGGCAGACGCATATAGGTGTCAATAAAACAGACATTGAGTTTTGTCTGAGACAACGACATATTTATATCACAGTTAGAAATTCTGTCAACGCTAAAAAATGGCATTGCTTTTAAGTATCGAACTGAGAAAGTGACTCTGTAAGAAGAACGTGTAGTGAAATAGACAAATGAAATTATATAAACAGTTAAATCGGTAATCTACTGTCATAACATATAAAAAGCTCGCGCCTGTGAAATATCAACAAAACATTAGAAAAATAGCTCACATCAAAGCCTTCACCGAGTATTCACCGCCAGCGAAGGTTTTCCGTCTTGAAATGTCGAACACCTCACTGGTTGACACATAGCTGAGTAGATCTAGATCCTAACAAGGTTCTTTTATGTAATGAGTAGATTATTTACAATTTGTTTTGATTAGACTACTCCTACTCACGACATTATAATCCGGACATCCCGCTTCCAAGCTGCGGGAACCTATTTCACTGCGCATGCGCTATGAGCGCAGCCCAGCTGTTGAAACCTCTTTTCACCCTAAGCGCTGGGGTGAATTTAGTAAATCGTTTCAACTCCGATTTTGCGGGGTTTTTTTCATCGCGTTATTCAACTTTATAAGTTGAATTTACATTTTTGATGACTTGTATCTCTAAGTCCATACCGAAAGGTATCAGAATCTGCAAAGTTGTGTTTTACGTTGCATGTGACCTTTAAGATTATGTCGACACATTATTTAGGACTGGCTTTGTACCCATGTGCACATTTATCCCATGACGATTTGTGACTACTTTACCAACCGTTTTCATAATTATACAAGGGAAGAAGACAGTTTTGTTCTATCCATAACTTAAAAAAGTATTGGTTGGAATGTTTCCAAATTGGGTGACTACCTTTGTCTAAAGGAGAGGCGCAGTGTAAATTTTGTTTATGATCTTAAGATTGTTTTCAATAATTACAACAGTCAAAAACTTAGAAATGGTTGTTCGACCAGACGGGTTAATTAGTAATGAGTAACGTACAGACACCCTGACTTGATGTAATGTTTGGTTGGTTGTTTGTTTAATGCCGCACTCAGCAGTATTCCAGATGTAGTGGCGGTCTGTAAATAATCGAGTCTGAACCAGACACTCCACCAGACTCGCAATTTGGATACGATGGCATGTGTCAACGAAGTCAGTGAGTCTGACCACCCGATCCCGTTAGTTGTCTTTTACGACAAGCATGGGTTACTGAAGACCAATCCGTTTCTTCAGGGCTTGATGGAGTTAATTTTGTTTCAACATCTCTTCACAAAACTGATGCTAGAACAATGAGGACATTATCTGAAATGTCTACATGGCCTTGTATCAATATTTGAACATTCAGTTTGTCTTTGAGTTGTGGAAGCATATTTTGTCAGTTACGGAACTGCGACAGTTCTGAGAACCAATGTGAATCTATTCATAGTTCTATGGCTGGTAATAACTAGGGGTGACTATTGAGGGGGAAACAACTATTGCGATACCGATTGTCTAGTGCAACATACTACTGCGATAGCGATAGTCTATTGTGACCAACTACTAGTATTGCAACAGTTTTTCTCTCCTTGAATTGTCCCATTTGAAGTCATTTCCCAAATGAATGTATTGTTTATATGAAATATAAACAAGCTGAAGCAGTTTCAGTGTCTAAATAACTGACAAGAAGCTTGAATCCCAGATCAAGTGTGTTAAAGAGGTAACAAGGGCGTATAACTCTAAATCAAAGTGAACGAATCTGGTACTTCCTGTATTTTGAGCTACTCATTTATCAAGGGAAATCAGTTACTAAATTATCCATAGTCACACATATCGATAATATTTCTTTCTACCATCGATTAATTACTATCAGAGACTCAACAATTGCAATCCATCGATAGTTCGATGCATCGTTACAGCCCTAGTAATAACATAGTTATGTGTAAAACTATCAATGATGACACTGTTTGGTTCAGTATCAGCTTGCCTGTACCTTGCTTAAATGTCGAGAAATAGATGGATCCATTTCTAACCAATCACTGTTGCTTTCATGTAGTGATTTTAGATCTTTCCTTCCTATCAAGCGATGGGCTAACAGAGTCTCAGCATAGTCCAAATCGGAAAACTTCAAAAACATCGTTGGTTTGTTCTCATAGATCTTGAGACCTTCCAGGAGGAATGTATTGATGAATCTCTTGCCAGACTGATCTGGTGCTCCGATGGTGAGAATAATCTGTCTCTCCTACAACACAAGTGTATATTACTATGCAGGAAACTGAAGCACAATACAGGAGGTGCCATTTCCTGACTACTGAATCCTGAATACCATCAAAGCTGTTAATAGTGGAACGGCTAGGTGTCAATTTAGGGCACCACTGATCTTGTTATAATGTTTAAATTCTTTCCATGGAAACTACATGTACTGATGAACTTAGATCCTGATCAATAAAACATTCGTAATGTTACGAGCTGTCGTACCTGTATAGTATCAGAGGCTTACTACCCGCTTTGTGGGTCGGATGGGGTGGGGTGTCCACCATACTTAACACCTTTAACTCAAAGCGCATTATTTATTGACTTTTGAGATGTCAGTAATAAATATATCTTTATAAAGCAATTTGGCAAAGGTAGATAATCAACCTACGCAAAAGATATGATACATTTTTCTTACATACTGACTACTGATTTACTGAAATGGCATTACTTCGCTGTGTGTTTTTGAAGATTGTTCCCCATAACAAACGCTATGTGATCAATCTGAGCTGTCACATGAGATAAGCATGTATTATGTAAATAGGTACTCTTACATAAGGACGTTTAAAGCCAACCTTAACAGCTTCAGACATCATATAGTGTTAGATGATAACGTCTAATATTTTAACTGACTTTATATCGACAATTTTCTTGTAGTTTGCACAATATCCACCCACTTGTTCAATGTGAGGTAGGTTAAATGCGCCCCACTTGTATATTTTGAAAAACACTTTTTTGGATAGAAATAAACAAATAACACGCCGACCGTGTGATATTCCTCCTCAAGAAACACATTTTACTCCTCCTCCTCTCACTTCTCTGTTCTTAGCCTCAAAACAATGTTTGTTGTGTCTCTTCCCTGGCTGTTTGAAATGTCAAATAAACTTCATAAAACAAGTTTTACACGGGGAAGCAAATCTGGTGCCGATGTCTATGGTGCCTAACATTCATTTAGTATTCTTTTTCACATCAACTTACGCCAGGTGGTAATGGCTGGAACTTCATGATGTAATCGATGATGTACTGAAGCTGTTGCAGTGGCTCGGCCCTTTCCAGATTCTGTGGTGGAGGCGTCATATTCATATGTGCAATGTACGTGTCCAGTGTCTGTTTGCCAGACTCGGACAGCACAAAGTCAGGGAGCTTGGCTACTGAGTCCACGTCAAGCTTCTTCCACGGTAACACACGTTCACCAACTGTTGTATTCAGGTCCTTGGTGAGACGAGCGTCCACTGTTCCTCTCTTCCTGGACAATGTGATCTTGCTGGAGTTGACTGATATGCCACACGATAGACGTAATATCTTTCTGAAGGTTGGCTGTCTGGATATGAAATGTAAAAGGAATGGGCTATTACTCAAGGGTGTTCAGGGTGCTCTGATGCTCATTTCTTAAGCAGGCAGACATATAAACCTCGGCCACTACCATGCTATTTATGAGTGTATTTCAACAGTGTAAAAAGATGCCTATTGATCTTGGATAAAATAAAGTATGCCCAGTGCAAGATTTTTAGACTACACTGTAATGTGTGACGTAAGCGACATCTGATATTAATGTGTGTGCTAAGCGACATCGGAAGGCGCGAAACAAAGATAGCGTCTCCCATGATAACTTGTGCCTGTACTCATATGTTACATACTCGAGCTTCATACGAACATCTGGTTTTCGATAATGTTTTATAGGGGTTATTATGTTTTATAGGCAAGGTGTTTAGAAGTACATAATATATGCTGTAGATTTATGTATTTCTCAAACACACAAGTATGCACGAACTTATACGGACATTTGGTTATTCCGTTACTAATAATGAATATGCTTATCCATAATGAAGCTGTTAAGAAGATCTGCAACACGTTTACCCATCTCTAATGTTCTGGAGCACAACGACATGCGGATCTTTTCGTAGATAGTCCATAGAAAACGTTCCGTCTTTCAGACACTCAGGATCAGTTGTGATGGTTACTTGGTAATGTTCATTGTACTCAACCACAGTCTGAAAATACAATACAATACAATAAATACTATACAATTGTGAGGCTTTCAACGCCTCCTAATTAGCACTAGGTGTATTATTGTTGCTAAAATCTGATAATTAGTGTACATAAGTCTACATAACGGATTAAGATGCACTCAAATTGCAGTATCTAAACAATTAAACGAACAAATACATGGACACTCAGATTTTATTATCTCTCTTATATGCATGGTTTGGTCTACTAATGCCTACACGGACAACTAGCTACAGGGAATACAGGGTGGAAGCTGTCATCAATGCACAAGGTGGATACACGAGACATTGAGGCTCATTGAACATATTTGTTTATCTGTTCAGGGTCATACTTGTGAAGAATATACCTTCCTATCACAACATCAGTTGTTTTGCAAAGTCAGGCTATGAATTACAAACATAATGTAACGCTGTTTGGAATATGTTCCAAGTTTTTAAACATTACTTCTTAAATAAAACCACAATTGTAGCCAGTTCATGAAACTTCTGAAAAAATACTGGGGGTGCTTAACGGTTTTCCTTATGCATAGGTGTACAAAATTGGTGTTCGGAAAATGATTGAAAACAAAAAATGAACTCAATAAATGGTTCATCAACATAGAAAGGCTTTGTTCCGTATTTACTGTAGGCAAAGGTGCACACTCAAATGGGACATACACTTTAATGAAAGGTTGAAAGCAGTAAAATTAAAAACCATTGGTGCGTAAAGTTGTTTATATAAGACTGTAGGCGTTATTCCCAGTAGGCATTAGTAGATTCCGCCTATATGCATGGGGTTATATTGATTTATTTTCGTAGTATCAGCACATACTGTCGGTACCCGTCCAATCAATGCGAAACAAAGGCTAAACCTGCCGATAGAAACACCACAATGTTTATTACTTGTGTCAATTTAAGGCTTTAACAACCGAATATACTTTTCTGCCCACAAGACAATCATAGCACGTGAATTATGTGGTTTGTTAGGAAAATCCGAAGTATGTTACACAATAACAATAGCAATACATTCATAGACATTTTCTTTCAAAAGCAGAATCGATTGTACAACTTATATAATCACAGGATCGCCTGCACCACTAGTGGAACCCCTCAGAAACCAGAAATATCATGAAAGCCCACTGCTGCCGCTTTTGTAGCTAAACATATGTTTTTAATTGCTCTCATTACCTTCCCGTTATTTCAGTTATTTTCTCGAAATTTCGAGTCTTTTCTCATTAGTTCAAAAACTTGAAATGTCGATTGTTTTCTCGTTTCTGTACTTGTTTTCTCGTCATTTCAAGTTTCTTTTCAAAAATGGAAAATACGGGTATATTGTCATGGCTTCATTTCATGGCTCGTAAAAACAAGAAATTTTAAGGTTTTAAGTCAGAATATGGAATCGTACAGTTTTGTTTCACTGCTTGTCAGATTTTAAAATGTCATCCACATATCTTCCATAAAACGTTTAGTCATAGGTATTAGATGTACTCACACGTGTCTTCCTCGTAGAAGCACTGGACGCAGCATTAGCCTCCCCTTTGGAAGCAATAACAGAAATATACTACTGACGATGATGATCCACCACCAAAATGCAACAGACAATTTACCCAAACTAGTTTTCTACTCTGAAATCCGGAGGACTTACATTGACATTAGTACATTTCGTATCAATATAACCCGTCAGCACCAGAGATTAACAAGTCTTGATTTTTCAATGCCAATTTGGGCGTGAACAGTAAACCAGCCATTAAAGCTATGTGGTAGTTAAATGATCCATGCACAACGAGTGAAATTTAAGAATGACAAAATTACCTTGTGTCATTTCGTGAAGTCTCTGTATCAGTTTTTCTCTAAGTCTTCTGTCACACATTGTTGTTCGATAAGAAATGTTATCCTTATCCCACAAGGGACTTGGATGTTTCAGTTGTGCCAGCGCATGTGCTAGTGCATCTGAACCTTGAATAGACAAGTGAATAGATGAAACATACTTAGTGACCAATCACTGTGTTATCTCTAGTCGTGAAAGAATACAGACAATCACTCCGAATACAGGCACAAGGAAACAATATCATTTAGAAGCAGAACCGAAAAGAATTATACACCTGGAAAAAAGTATCGCAACACTTAATACTTTTTCCTCACAATATCTTAAAAATTGCCATAAAACAACATTATCAAAATAACCTATTACGTGTCTCAAATGCAATCAAATCATTATGCACGTGCTGCAGGTAACAAGTGTGGAGTATATGAAACACTCCTTGTGTCATGAAAATACAGTTTCAATTATCATTCACTCTTGTTAGAAAACTTAGCTTAATTGCATGCTTATTGCATACTCTATGGACCCCCTCAACTAACGTCAGCCAAAAGATGGCAACTTTTAGTTTAGGTATGGTTAATGCTGGGTTGTCCACGAGACAAATTAGGTCACCAGTTCTCTACAATCAGTCGATTAGTGAGGAAATATCACCAAACAAACGATGATAAGGATCTGCATCGATCAGGCATAGCACGCAAAACATCAGCTAGACATGACGCAGCCCTAACTAGACTTGTTCGGCGATTTCCCTTTGCAACAAGTCCAATGTTAAAACAGCATTGGCTTCCACATCAGAAACTCTGTCAAAAACTTAAAACAGCAGGGTATAAGGCCAGGAGACCTGTCCGACGACCTTTGTTGACACGTGCCCACACGGATGCAAGATTACGGTGGTGACGTGACCGGCAGCGGTGGAATTTAATGGTATGGGGCTGTGTGTCGCATGACTGCAAACCTCAGCTTGTCACAGTGAGAGGAAATCTGAATGGACAAATAAAAGATACCAAGAGGAATCCCGAGGAGGCATGTAGTGCCTCATTTTGATAATCATCCCCTATTAACAAAGTCAATCTTCATGGATGACAAGCCAGGCCACATCGCGCACGCGTAGTCATTGATTTTCTGCATCAAGAAGCCATTATCACCCTTCCATGGCCCAAATTTGAACCCTATCAAGCATGTTTGGGACATTCGAGGGCGAGAGATCCACCATTCCAGAGTAATGGTGAGTGAGTGAGTTTAGTTTTACGCCGCACTCAGCAATATTCCAGCTATATGGCGGCGGTCTGTAAATAATCGAGTCTAGACCAGACAATCCAGTGATCAACAGCATGAGCATCGATCTGCGCAATTGGGAACCGATGACATATGTCAACCCAGTCAGCGAGCCTGACCACCCGATCCCGTTAGTCGCCTCAAACCGAAACATGAGTCTCATTAACCTATTCAGACAATGACCTATTTTTCAGCCGATCCGAAATTTCTCGGGTGCAAGTGAAAATAAACATTACAAGCAACTATGGTTACACTGAATTCCAATTCCTTGTTTCATAAGTAATTGGTATTTATAAATGAATTTTAATTTTAAACTTTAAAAACATCGTATTTCTGTATTTTATGGCGAGGTGTAGGCAGCATGACCTTAAGTAAGACGTCACAGACTGCCCCAGTTTGATGAGGTCGTAACATGATTCACAATGTATCTGGCGCACTGGTTACACCTGTTATGTGTTTTTTTGCGCTTATTCAGAGCAGTTCTGTAACGCAAAATGTGTGATATAATATCAAGTCCATACCAGACCGCCAAACTTTTCTAGCGGCATAGCCTCGTTTTGAGATTTCCACGATTTCCAGATTTCTGCTTGTCAGTGCTCGCTGTACGACAGAGCACGCTGCACGTGTTTGCAAGAATTATAAGGAGCGTAGTGTTGCAATATACAAGTGCTTAGATGTATCAAATAATACTGATTAATATTTATGTATCCAGTCAAATGAATTGGTCTCAAAATTCTGGACTGGTCATTGTACTAAGTTGCGCAATAGGACGGAACCCAGTCAACAGGAAACGAGACTGTTGTGTAATCAATGTTTTGACTTGTTACGGCAAGCATGGGTTACTGAAGGTTCATTCTAACCCTGACCTTCACGGGTGAATAATGATGAATTAGAGCAAACATTGCACCAAGAATGGAACAGGTTGCCAAAACATCGGATTCAGCGTCTTGTACACTCAATGAGGACGTGGGTTCAAAACGTCATCCAATGGGCGGAGGTTACACAAGATACTGACTGTGTCTTCTGTTTGTGAAACTAGAGACTTTATTTGTGGATTGTTTGTATGAGGAGCAGTTAACTTAATTTCAGTTTTATTACAGGACCCATGTTTAATCAGATTATGCCGTTCAGATTCTTTATTGTTGGCTTTTATATTAATGAAAAGTCTTTTAGCACTTTGGATAAAAAATAATTTCCTGTGAAGACGCACGTGACATATAAAGTGTGATTAAATATAGGCCCTGTCATAAAACTAGGGTGTTGCGATACTTTTTTTCCATCTGTATACTTAAGAATACGGCTCATTGGTGGTGTAGAATCGAAATAACATTTCTATTATAAGTAATTATGTTAAAGTTGTATTCTGACATTCATTCATTTAGAAAAACCCTCTGCGGAGGTTGACATTACCAAGAACATACACAAAAGTCTTAAAGTGTATACAAAAGTACTTCTCAATAGAAGATAAGGGCCATCCAGTTCTTTTAGATTACAACAGGTCATCTCGCCAGGCATGGCAGATTGCCTACAGTGATATGAGGGCATCGGATGGTCCGTAACGTCTTATGAGTAGTATATTCTGTAACCTGTTACATTCATGGTATGTATATAGAAAAGGATTACATACCGTCTGTCGTAATTGTGAGACTTGTCATGTTTCTATAGTTCTCTGCTGTTTTCCATCTTAAGGACAATTTGGCAAGTCCGCTAAAAGTACCAGGGGCAAGAAGATTCCTAGAAAATGAAATAGAAGGCAGTAGCCATGAGGCTAACCTTTCATCATTACCTATAAAATCTTTCATTTAAAATAGTTTCCTATACACAATCGTCGCGCAGAGCTTTACAATAGTTAAGTTATGTGTACAGTTCCTTTTGTATGGATGTCAGTGTGGCAAAATAGGTCCTCAGCCAGGTGGTTACATCAGGTGGTTATATGCATAATCTGGCTGAGTTCTTGTATTCTGACCAAACGGGGCGTGATCTCTGCCATCAACATGGTTGGTGTGTTATCCACATTCCATTATCGTCACAACATGGATCACTTATGCCAGTATGTTGGTTGGTTGTTGTTTTACGCCGCACTCAGCATATTCCAGCTATATGGCAGTGGTCTGTAAATAATAGAGTCTGGACCCCGACAACCCAGTTATGAACAGCATGAGCAGGGATACGATGACATGTGTCAATCAAGTCAGAGAGCCTAACTACCCGATCTCGTTAGTCGCCTCTTACGACCAAAATGGGTTACTGAAGACCAATTCTAACCCGGATCTTCACGGGTTATGCCAGAAAGTAAATGCAATAACGTATGCCAGTTACTGGATGGTTTCAGCACTTACTCATGTCCTAGAGCGAGGTCCTCAGCTAGGTGGAGTCCCAAAACAGTTGGGTACAGCAATGGAGAGACATCAAAACACTCACGAAGGAACATTCCGACGTTGGTTTTATTCCAGTGAAAGATCTCCGTCCTAATAACCGCATCTGGACTAATTTAAAGGAAGTACAGATTCAGTTGTTTTGATGATTGAAAATAAACTTGTTGAAATCCAGATAAAACGTTGTAGAACATCACATGGTCAGTCATGTTCATGATATTAAAGTGTTTTCTATAGTGTGCATGGATCCGATGATGGGTTCTAATCCAAGCTTCACTATCAGGTTTTGTGTCCACCTGGTACCTGGACATTGTGTCTACCCAGCATCAAGGTACGATGCCTTAGCATCGCCCTAAAATCAAAATCACCCCTTTAACACAAAGAGTAAGCAATGTCTACCAGACCATACTGTCAAATTTATGTCATATAAAAATATAACCAAAGGAGTGAGGATGGTATTGGATTACATACGTCTTCGCCTTTTCGCGAGAGCAGGTAAGCACAGGTATGAGGCCTACAATATCTGCAATGTTGGACGTGTCAATGAAATCAAACTTGAGATCTGCTGGAATATCGGTCTCGCATACTGCTGTTGCCTCTCCAAACCAAAGGTGTATCTGAAAAGAAACAGATTTATATATACTCTGCAAAAAAAAGAAACGCACAGGTGATAATGAAATTTAAAATTAACTTTATTTTATTTCTATGCAAACAAAACCCGGTTACTTTAACCAAACATAATGTATACTTGTTCATATCCATTAAGTATCGCTCAAACACACCATTTCATGAAATATTGTTGTTTGATGATGGTTTTTGAAAATATCATGAAATTTTCACGTGTAAATGACACTTCGAACGATATGCACGTGAAAGTTGCTTCACCTATGCACCAGTGTGTAGGGTATATGAGGAAGGCAGTTTAACGTGTTCAATTCACTTTCAACGCCAGTTTACTGACGAATTCAACATGCCACGACTTAGCGAAGCTGACCGGAACATCGCCATCGGACGTCTTGAGGCTGGCGAATCTCAGTCATCAGTTGCAAGACACTTCAACGTGCATCACACAACAATTTCCCGTTTATGGAGGCGCTACAATCAACTGGGCTCGACCCGCGACCGACCTCGGAGTGGTAGACCACGGGTAACCAATGCTGCACAGGACCGCTACATCCGGGTGTTCCATTTACGTAACCGGGCCGTCCCAGCAACACAAACAGCAGAGAACGTCCCAGGTCTTCGCCGCGTCTCCGCCCAGACCATCAGAAATCGCCTCAGGCAGCACGGGATACGCCCTCGACGACCTCACGTAGGATGCACACTACGACCTCATCATCGCCTGGCACGTGTTCGATGGTGCAGGAACGTCCAGAGATGGAATTGGAGACATTGGCAGCGAATTTGGTTCAGCGACGAATCTCGTTTCCAACTTCAAAGACACGATGGTAGGACGAGGGTCTATAGACGGAGAAACGAACGTTACGCCCGTAATTGTGTAGTTGAAGCGGACAGATTTGGAGGGGGAAGTGTGATGGTATGGGGGGCCATTTCTTACAACGGGAGAAGTGACTTGGTGCACGTCCGTGGTAACCTGACTGCAATTCGTTACAGGGATGAAATTCTGCAACGTCATCTTTTACCTGTCATCAACCCTCAACGTCACGTTTTCCAACAGGACAACGCCAGACCGCACGTGGCTCGCATCACGATGGACTACCTGACGAATCAGAACATCACAGTTCTTCCCTGGCCTTCAAAATCCCCCGATTTGAACCCAATAGAGCATTTGTGGGACCAGCTTGGGAAACGCGTTCGACGTCGTCAGCCTCAACCCCAAACGTTGCAACAACTGTCTCAAGCCTTGCAGGAGGAATGGAGGAGGATCCCCCAAGCACGGATTCAAAGACTGATCATGTCCATGGACAGGAGGTGCCAAGCTGTGTTGCAAGCTCGAGGTGGTCACAACAGGTACTGACCTCCACGCCATCTGTACGCCCGGTGCAATGGTTTCAGAGACAAATGATAGCTGCATGTTGTAAAGCTGACTCTTGACAACATCCATGTGAAATTTTACGTTCGTGCGATCATTAGTTAAAGTTTTATTTGGAAACAAAATAAAGTGTTTACATTCCTGAGTTTTCACCTGTGCGTTTCTTGTTTTGCAGAGTATACTATTGTACACATTTATATACTATGCTCCACACAGAGTACAATAAAAATAGATGAATTATAAAATTAATCAATGCAACTTTCAACACATATTCATGAAAATATCGCCTCGGCTTTAAGGCCGTGATTTACAACTTACATGTACATGTCTATGTTCGTGCAAAATTCTGATGTTTGCTTGATTGGTACTGATATAGGTGTTATTCAACATGAAATGGTTATTAACCTTTCTTAACGCTTATGTAACGTCAGTGCGATTTAAAAATCATCGGAGGTTGCGAGGAAGAGTGTGGCATTAAACTTTTCAAAGGTGCAATGGTCCACAGGGATCCAGGAGAAAGTTTCAGAGACGCTTGAAATACTCATCGTTTTCAGTTTCGGGGTGAAAGCGTAATGGTATGGGGTCTCATCACAACTAATGGGAGAAGTCATCCACATATTAGTGTAAAACATAATTTGAGTGGTGTACAATATCTTTACGAGGACATGTTTTGCTCTGCGCAAATGCAGTAGGCTATTGTCACAGTGTATTCACTTGTCTATTCAAAATGACAGTATGGCAAGTGCAAATAATATTCACCCATAAAGTGCATGATTTCACTGTGTATCTAAATATTGTAAATCACAATCTAGGTATGATTACAGGACGGCATATCCCTCATACATAGTCTATATACAGCTTAATGCACAAGATGTCTTAAGAGGGTGCTTCTTTTCCCTTCATCAAAGACCGAAGTCATGGACCGGAGTCACGGATAAGCGTCAAGCACAAACGTCAATGAGAGGAGCCAAGATCTGGAGTCAATGGTTGGAGTCAAGGACAAGCGTTAAGGACTGGAGCAAAGAACAAGCGTCAAACACTTGAGTCAAGGACAAGTGCCAAGGATTAGAGTCAAGGACTGGAGTCAAGGACAAGCGTTAAGGACTGGAGTCATTGGTTGGAGTCAAGGAAAAGCTTTAAGAATTGGAGTCAATGGTTGGAGTCACGGCCAGGCGTTAAGGACCTGAGCCAATGGTTGAATCAAGGAGAAACGTTAAGGGCTGGAGTCAATGGTTGGAGTCAAGGACAAGCGTTAAATACTGGAGTCAAGGACAAGCGTTAAAGACTGGAGTCAATGGTTGAGTCAAAGAAAAGCATCAAGGGTTGGAGTCAAGGACAAGCGACAAGGACTGGAGTCAAGGACAAGCGTCAAGGATTGGAGTAAAGGACAAGCATCAAACACTAGAGTCAAAGACAAGCGCCAAGGATTAGAGTCAAGGACTGGAGTCAAGGACAAGCGGTAAGGACTGGAGTCATTGGTTGGAGTCAAGGATTGGAGTCAAGGACAAGCGTCAAGGACAGGAGTCAAATTAAGGTTAAGTCAAGAACTGAGGACACGATCTGTAGTCAATTATCGGAGTCAATTACGGGAATCAAGGACCGGAGTCAAAGACTTACGTTGATGCTGCATCTGTCGCTTAGTGCTGCCTGGTAACTTTCAACCCACTCTCTCAATATTTCGAGATACAGCGAAGACAATGTGACTTTTTCTCCATCGTACCTAGACATGAAAATGCATTATTACACACTTGGAAGGTTAGCCAAACGGAATACTTTGTTGAGTGAGTGAGTGAGTGACTTTAGTTTTACGCTACTTTTAGCAATAGTCCAGCAATATCACGGCGGGGGACACTAGAAATGGGCTTCACACATTGTACCCATATGGGGAATCGAACCCGGGTCTTCGGAGTGAAGAGAGAATGCTGTAACCACTGGGCTACCCCACCGCCCCGAATACTTTGTTGAAGGTAAATACAAAAAGCATATAACTATTTTAATCGCCGTTGAAACGTGTAGTCAAAACAAATGAAATTTGTGAAGAATTGAGCTCTACATCTGATATCTACACGATCTCAAACATGTTCAATGAATTAATGTTAAAACATGGAAGAGACAATTGGTATATGCAAGACAAAGTTTTCCCGTAATCATGAGAAATCGTTCGTCAAAGCAGACTCCATTTTATAAGCTTGCCCTCGTTATTTATTCAGTGGTTCAAAACGAGTAAAAACAGAATACTGAGCCCGAATTCAAAGCAAAATTGGAAGATCACCCTTACCAGATGTTTTTCAATATAATGGACGTGTATTATTTCACTGAACTATCGGTTGTCAGCCCACTGTATAGTATTTACGGGGATTACGGAAAGTAAAGCTTAAAGTTTCTTTTTAAGAAGACATGGTGAACGAACAAACCAATGTTACATAATATATAGCGCCCTGTTTGGTGTTGACATGCATACATGCATGCATACATACATGAATGCATACATGCACACATACACACACACACACACACACACACACACACACACACACACACACACACACACACACACACACACACACACAATCGAAAGACGTATACAATATCTAACCATTATATCACTGTGCAATAGAAAGTGTATTCAGTCTGCCTCTGTGGGGTGAGTCATCTTGTAATGTATATACAAGCCGTCAAACGGAACAGTAAACACATTCATTGTTCACATTACACGGGTCAGGCATGTTACTGCAGTCCTTTGGACGACTTGCCCCGAATGGTTGTTCTCCGCAGTAAATGGCGGTAAAATCAGAACATGAACAAAAGTAAGCAGTCATGTGCACGTATCGTTCCTCTGTTGCACATTTTCAGTTGTTCAATAGCACTACACATTTTATATGTGGTTACAAAGCCTGTGTAAACTGCACATGTATGGCTCCTGTCTGGAGTCGGTTCTCTTCGAACTGTGCTCGTCGAAAGAAGAGACTGAAATTCGGCATTAAAAACGCTATGTACAACGCACATGCGCAAAATCGTAAAGCGGTACACGCACAAATCCACACAATATCGAAGGCACAGACAGACAGACAGACAGACAGACGGACGGAAACACAGAAAAACACACATACAGACAGACAAACAAACAGACAAACAGATACACACACAAACATACATACCTATGTAGCTGAAGATCAATGTCGTAACACAGGAAGGGCGTGCTGTCCATCAACACTCTCCATGAACGGCTTCCTGGTCTATAAAACGTCACATTGGTTTGGAAATTGTCTCGAATATGTTCAGATGAGTGAGGTCCCGAGTTGATTCTTGTGACGCCAGTTGTGACATATTCTTTGATTTCTTGATGATATCTGAAAATAACGAAACAAATTTTACCAGGATTCACACAGACAGGTTCTTGAGTTTACTTTTCGTTTAGTTCAGACACTACTTAAACCAGTCCTATGAAAACTTTCAAACATACCAGGGTTCAGTAGATCATGATACAACAGCTTGGATATAATGCATACTCAACAACAGCAAACCCCACTTGATTTGCTTGTATTATACTGTTCGTTAAACAAGCTCTCTGGCACACTATTACCTACACAGCTGTCGATTAAGGGTCGTATTAGGTTTACTCCCATAAGAACTACATCCCATTTGAACTACATCCCAAATTAACTAAAGGGATTAATTAGGGATTAATTATCTGAGTATATGCACCCCCATGGCATGTAATGAGCATAGCCCATCAGCTCTCCCAGAAGAACTACATGCTTAAAATCCTATTGACCAGTAATTATGTTGTTGTAAAGGTAATATAATAACCAGAAAGTAAAGGACAAGAGAGAAGGGTATGCTGTAGTTAGTGAATGTTCTTGCATTCATATGATAGAAACAATACAAGCTTAGTATATAAGAGTAAAGGTAAAGGTATATTGGAGTAAAGGTAAAGGTATATAAGAGTAAAAGTAAAGGTATATTGAGAGTAAAGGTAAAGGTATATTGGAGTAAAGGTAAAGGTATATAAGAGTAAAGGTAAAGGTATATTGGAGTAAAGGTAAAGGTATATAAGAGTAAAGGTAAAGGTATATTGGAGTAAAGGTAAATGTATATTGCAGTAAAGGTAAAGGTATATTGGAGGAAGGTATATACGAGTAAAGGTATTATTAAAGGTAAAGGTATATTGGAGTAAAGGTAAAGGTATATAAGAGTAAAGGTAAAGGTATATTGGAGTAAAGGTAAAGGTATATTGGAGTAAAGGTAAAGGTATATTGGATTAAAGGTATATTGGAGTAAAGGTATATTGGAGTAAAAGTAAAGGTATATTGAAGTAAAGGTAAATGTATATTGGAGTAAAGGTAAAGGTATATAAGAGTAAAGGTAAAGGTATATTGGAGTAAAGGTAAAGGTATATAAGAGTAAAGGTAAAGGTATATTGGAGTAAAGGTAAATGTATATTGCAGTAAAGGTAAAGGTATATTGGAGTAAAGGTATATACGAGTAAAGGTAAAGGTATATTGGAGAAAAGGTAAAGGTATATTAAGAGTAAAGGTAAAGGTATATTGGAGTAAAGGTAAAGGTATATAAGAGTAAAGGTAAAGGTATATTGGAGTAAAGGTAAAGGTATATTGGAGTAAAGGTAAAGGTATATAAGAATAAAGGTAAAGGTATATTGGAGTAAAGGTAAAGGTATATTGGAGTAAAGGTAAAGGTATATTGGAGTAAAGGTAAAGGTATATTGGAGTAAAGGTAAAGGTATATAAGAGTAAAGGTAAATGTATATTGGAGTAAAGGTAAATGTATATTGGAGTAAAGGTATATTGGAGTAAAGGTAAAGGTATATAAGAGTAAAGGTAAAGGTATATTGGAGTAAAGGTAAAGGTATATTGAAGTAAAGGTAAAGGTATATAAGAGTAAAGGTAAAGGTATATTGGAGTAAAGGTAAAGGTATATTGGAGAAAAGGTAAAAGTATATTGGAGTAAAGGTAAAGGTATATTGGAGTAAAAGGTAAAGGTATATAAGAGTAAAGGTAAAGGTATATTGGAGTAAAGGTAAAGGTATATTGAAGTAAAGGTAAAGCTATATAAGAGTAAAGGTAAAGGTATATTGGAGTAAAGGTAAATGTATATTGCAGTAAAGGTAAAGGTATATTGGAGTAAAGGTATATACGAGTAAAGGTAAAGGTATATTGGAGTAAAGGTAAAGGTATATAAGAGTAAAGGTAAAGGTATATTGGAGTAAAGTTGTGAGGGTATATAAAAGGTAAAAGGTAGAGTAAACGTAAAGGTATATTGATTAAAAGTAAAATACGTAAAGGTAAATATATGGAGTAAAGGTAAAGGTAATGGAGTAAAGGTAAAGGTATATTGGAGTAAAGGTAAAGGTATATAAGAGTAAAGGTAAAGGTGTATTGGAGTAAAGGTAAAGGTATATAAGAGTAAAGGTAAAGGTATATACGAGTAAAGGTAAAGGTATATTGGAGAAAAGGTAAAGGTATATAAGAGTAAAGGTAAATGTATATTGGAGTAAAGGTAAAGGTATATTGGAGTAAAGGTAAAGGTATATAAGAGTAAAGGTAAAGGTATATTGGAGTAAAGGTAAAGGTATATTGGAGTAAAGGTGAAATACAAACGGATGAGTTACAGATACAGTTGAGTTATGAGTTACAGCTAGGTTCCATCTGAAGTGTCACCAAACATTCACTTATAAGACTAGCATTGAGACAGCTTTGAAACGAAAAGACAAGGGTTGTTTGCATATGATAAAGGTGGGGTAGATTCTCCTTCTAAAGAACTTGTTGAATTATGTTGCATTTTTGGTATTCATGCCTTAAATGGAAGATTAGGTAATGATTTATGTGGCCAATTTATATGTTTTGCTTTGGTTGCTGTGACTACAGGTTCTTCTTCAATTATTTCCTTTCATCACACAGCTTAATGCACACTAGGTAACTCATGTCATTCACATTCTAGCTCCCCCCCACACTGCTCATTTTCAAACACATTTACCTCTAACAGTAATACACAGGAGGGTAAACAGGACAAATGAACAAAATACAGGTTGTACAAGGATGAAAGCAGTGCATTCATTACAAACTTTAGGTCACACTTTCACACATGGTAATACTTTTTTTCAGAAAGCAGCTGATCACACAAAAAACATGATGCTACATTTGCTTCAACAAATGAGAACACAACCACCTTGGTGGGATCAGGAATTGGAAAACATACAGCATGACAAATATGCAGCACTCAGAGCTCAAAGAGATGACAGTGCAGATTTTAATATCTTCGGACAGTTACAAACACTCTTCAAATGTACATTCAAACAAAAATGATTACTGTTCTAAAACAAACAGAAAGATAAATTAGTAGCAGCAAGCACTCACCCTAAATTATTTTTGAAAACACTTTCAACCAATATCACAATCGTGTCAACAATGGACAGATCACTTCTCAAATCTTTTATGCATTAATACTCCTCAAAACACACAAGAACATTCACCTCCACCTTTACAACATACAAGCAACACATTCTTTTTTAAACCAACCTTTTAACAAACAAGAAACATCTACAACTATTCTCTCTTTGCCAAATATTAAAGCCCCTGATTCATATGGAATTGCACATGGATTTCTGAAGGAGTCGAGGCGTTACATTGTCCTTACTCTCACTGTTTTTTAAATTAAACTTATGACTTTGGCTATTTCCCTCCCATTTGGGGTAAGGGCATTTTTTGCCCTTTGTTAAGATCTGGCGACAAGAACGACCCCCGACAAATACTGTGGTATATCCTTCATTTACTCCCCTTGTAAATTATGTACATCAATTCTAAATAAAAGATTAAAGTTTGGTGCAATGTAAATAATATCATTTGTGAATACCAGGCTGGTTTCAGGGAAAACTATTCTACAATAGACCAAATTTTCACACTTCAGGCTATGGTAAAGAAATAGTCATATAAGAAACAGTGTATATTTTATTGATTTTCCAAAAGCTTTCAAGACACTAAAACATGAGGAACTTTTACATCTTGTCCGTAAGGTTGGTATAAATAGGAAGTTTTTAAATATTATTACTCGTATGTATAATTGACTTTGTGCCTGTGTTAGAACCCTTGATGGACTTTCTAAACAATTTTCTCGTAATGTGGGTACCCGTCAGGCACCTTATGTTTGCTAATGATGTTTCGGCTCTTTCAAACATGCATATTCAACTGCAGAAAAAAAGATGAATGCCCATGAATAATTTTGTAAAGAAACAGGAATGAAAGTAAACCTTAAGAAAACTTAAGTTGTTGTTTTTAGAAATGGAGGGCCTAGATTTTATGAAAAGTGGTATTTTAATGGGGAACAATTAGAAACTGTTTGTTTTCATAAACATAAGGCATTATATTTACACCAAATGTGTTTGGTCCAGAGCACAATCATCTTTAGCATCTCCAGCCAGAAAGGCAATTTTATCAGTTAATCTTTTTCAAAAGAAATTTGGAAACATTAATTGTACAGATGTATTCAAACAAATTTATTCACTGATCACACAATTTTTATGCTATGGCTCAGGCATATGGGAAACTTCTTATTGTAAAAGTATTGAATCTCTTCAGCTTGTTTTTGTAATAAAAAGTATCTTAAAATAGGTTATATTGTAATGCTATGGCCCTGGTGAATGTGGCAGATTGCCCCTGCAGCTTAATTATATGACCCATGTGGCCATATATTGGTGTGGAGTAATACAACTTCCCCATGACAGATTACCCTTTCAAAGTTACCTTATGCTTAAGTGAGTGAGTGAGTTAATATTTAACGTCACATCGGCAATATTTCAGCCATATCGTGACGAGAACATTTAAATAGAATATATATACAGATATTATACAAACCTGCCGACGAAGGACCTTATGCTTAAGTCATTAGATGATAGTGGTAGAACAACATGGGCATGAAAAGTTAAAAGTCTTCTTTTAAATTTTGGTTTTGGATATGTTTCGTTGAGCCAAGATGCCGGTGATGTAAAAATGTTTATAAGCATATTTAAACAAAGATTATCAGATAATTTAAAACAGTCTTGTACACTTCCTTGAGTAATTCCTCCTGATGTAACTATTATCAGTTTGGTAAGTCAGTATTAAATGTTGAATGTTATTTACCATTTAACCTTTCTACCCATTTAAGAGCTGCTTTAACACAATTTAGGTGCAGTAATTTTAAGATAGCTGTAGAAACAGGGTGTTATATCAACACTGACTATAATCAAAGATTCTGTACATCATGTAAATCTGAGGTCTAACCTATATCAAAGATGAATTCCATGTATTGTTTATTTGTGAATCTTATTCACAACTGAGAGGGAGGTATATTACAAAACCTGTTAAATAGCCTTACACTTTATATCTTTTAGGTAATCTTTTAATGAGTACTAACTTAAATTTAACTTGTTAAATATGTTGCTTTTTATCTATTTAATGTTAAAAGGATTATTATAAACTCTCTTGAAAGATCATTGTGCCCATGAAGACACAGTAGGGTTTAATGTATTTTGGGCCTATGGCTTTTTACTGGAAATAAACTCTGACTCTGACATTCAAATAATCAACATAATGTGTATTAATGACTCATACTTTCCATTCTGTAGATGTTTCAAAAGTGTAAATATTGTTTCATATCTTTTGTCTGATTAAATCTGTTTCGAGAAAGCTGAAACTGACAGAAATTTGGGCATGTTGACATTCAAATTTGATAGTTTCATGTGATATATACATGCAATTTATTTGTATCATTTTATCAATTATATTTAATTAATTAAGTTGCATAGATGGATGTAATGTATGATACTGTTTATGTCAGAAATGAATATAACACATGTTATATTTGGGATTACACTTTCTCAGTAAAGTACAGATTCTAATACTTTTGTTGGGTTGAGGCCCATCCGGGATTCGAACCCACACCCTTAGAGTCAGGCACCTAACCACCAGCACACAAAGTCAGCCACCCAACCTGCGACCTCAACATGTTACATTTGACCACTTTCTAAATTGCATTGTGTAATCACAGAGATTAATACGATTCTTGGACAATACTATGTTGGAATTTTTCATTTTCATGATTGGTCATGTAATGATCAACACCCTGAAAAAAGTTTAATCGGTGAAAATTTTAATTAAAAAAATTTGAATTTTAACAAATATTGACTGATTATGAAATTATGAAACATTTCTAATTTTTCTACAACATTTCTATTGCACAAGTACCATTAAATGATGTTACCAACAGGCCAAGGTCAAAGCCGTGCAATCAGAATCCTGCCAGGGGGTACCCTTCTTTCAGCAGCTGTGAAACATTAATGTGCAACTATTTTTGCAAGAAAAGTTTTGATTCTTAACAAGCGCTTCCTGGGGATAATTTTGATACATAGTTCTTGTATTCACCAAGTATGTTTAAGCACTCTCCTATTTCTAGAGGCCCTACAGATTTCGGCCCACGGCCTATTCTTAGGTAGTTGAAAATGCTGTTCATAAAGCAGTAAAAGTCCCAAGAGAGACACTTATGAAAACAAAAGAAACAAATACAGAGATGGACAATTCTTCCATTTGTTTGTACCTACAATCCCAATAATGGTACAATTTGAAGGCAAACTATTTATTGTCAAAATCAACATGAACTGCCGAAGCTAAAATGTTATATATGTTTTATTTGTTTTCTGTTGGGCAAATCCATTAAGCCGACGCAGGTGGTTAATCTGTGCACTAGACCATAACATGTGTTGTTTTAAGCTGTAGTTCTTATGGGAGGACACCTCATATTAGACTCTCCATGGCACCGTAGTCGGATTGTTGTTCATACTTTAAACCATTGGTATGACCTTTACCGCGGCGTCAAATACATCAATAAACAGCAGTCGTATAACGGGAACATTGTTGAGTGCTGGGTCAATCAACATGAATACACTCTTAATCCCATTGTTTCAGCTACATAGCGACCTTCAGTTGGCGGAGTTTGTTATGCATTTTACGCGGTTCTCAGTAATATGCCAGGTCAATGAAGCAAGTAATCGAGTCAGTACCAGACAATTCAGGACCGATATTGTGAACAACGATGCATGCATGGACGACATTGAATCAACAATAGCCAGGTAATCCACCTCATTCATTCGCCTCTCCACATAGGTCTCATCCAACCAGGAAACTCAGAATATCACTTCACTTACCTGTCTTTCAGACGATCCTTTGTGTCCACATGAAGACATTGGACGCTAAATTTGGATGCTAACCAATCTGGTTCATCAGTCTTTGCGGTCTTAAACACTTCTTTCTGGAACTCCTGTCTTTCATCGAGGGCAAGACTAGTACTTGTATTTAACTTCAACCAGAACTGCAGTGCATCTTTGATGTGTCTCTCAGTGTTCAAGTTCCCGAAGTGTACACCGTGTTGACCCGATGTGAATGTCGACAGTTCTTGAACAGTGGCTCTCAGTCTCTGAAGGTGTGCCTCTGTCAGAAGCACATCATACCAGACTCCCCAGAGGAACTTCAAGTCTTCACTGTTTGTTGGATCAATGGTCTTTGCTAGGTAGAGCAAGATCAAGTCTCTGGTCAAAATGCCTTCTTCAAGGTCGTTCAAATGAAAGTTTATGATCTGATCAGTCGATTTTGTCGTACCATCTTCATGTAGCAAGTGCAGCGTATGTAAGACGTTCCTGACGTCACCACACCCTAGCAACAGTATGTCACATTCCTTAGCAACCTGACATCCTTGAGTCACGTCAACTGACCGACTGTTGCCGATTGGATAATACATGACATCGTTTCTCGATTTATTACTCATTTCTGTAAAGAAAATAGTTCGTAGAAATGCATAAAACACGTATATGGGGACTTTTCCCACAATCACAAGTAATCTTAGCTGAAGGGAATCTATCGTGCGAACAAAATTATCATAGGAGTGAATGCGTTTAGGTCTACGCTGCTTGTAGCAATATTCCAGCAATATCACGGCGGGGACACCAGAAATGGGCTTCACATATTATATCCATATGGGAAATCGCACCCGCGTTTTCGGCGAGAAAAGCGAACCCTTTAACCACTAGCTACCCCAACGTCCCCTATGTTCAAACATTACTATCAAACAGTACTATCAAACATTACTATCAAACATTACTATCAAACATTGATGATCTCTGTTTTCACAAAACACATTTTTCATAAATACATGTAAATGCACAACAAGCTTTCAAGAAACAAGGTAACACCTGATGCGTGGAAATACCACGATGAACTTACAGCGTGGAAGTCTGTTTTGGGTAAATAAGAGCCAATTAGGATTTCAACGTCAGACCTTCAAACTTTCCACCATGACCCATGCCTTTAGAACGCTTTGTTTCTGATTTGTTTATAGTATAAAAAGAAACGTCTTCACTCAGTCTGTCCACTGTGTCGTGAGCAAAAATATATGTAGGAAAATACAAGATACGTACACTATCACAACAACCTATGATTAAAAGCGACAAAACCCTTTTCACATCCATAAGAAATCTCTGCTTAAAGCAGAGTCGCTTGTTCAATTCTGACAATATCATGATTATGTATTTGTTTCAGCAGTATTACAGCAACCCATGTTATTCCCCTGGAAGATCCGGGTTAGAATTGGTCTTCAGCATCCCATGTTATTCCCCAGGATGATCAGGGTTAGAATTGGTCTCAAGCAACCCATGTTATTCCCCGGGAAGATCAGGGTTAGAATTGGTCTTCAGCAACCCATGTTATTCCCCAGGAAGATCAGGGTTAGAATTGATCTCCAGCAACCCATGTTATTCCCCGGGAAGATCAGGGTAAGAATTGGTCTTCAGCAACCCATGTTATTCCCCGGGAAGATCAGGGTTAGAATTGGTCTTCAGGTGAATTCTTGGTGATTCACTGGGAAGTATAATCAGATAAGCTCTCAATTCCACGAAATGTGGGTATAGAAAGTAGACACATGGATAGTATTGCAACATCGTTACACTCTACCAGTGATTATCACAAGAGAGAGATCCATGATTTGAGTGTGAAATAGAATAAAGATCTTACTTGTATTGAAGTGATGACAATGTTCCACCCAAACGGAGGTGAATCGCTGGGAAGTATAAACAGATAAGTTCCTGATTCCACGAACTGTAGGTATAGAAAGTAGACGCCCAAGTAGTGTTGTATAACAACTATAAATAGTTACAACACACGGGCCTTTGAAGTTATTAATACCACTCAAAAGCCATAGCGATATTGAGCGGCGTTGTGCGTTGCTTCGTAGCTAGAGAGGTACGAATCGAGAGGACAACAAGGCCAAAGAGTCAAGGAAAACAGCCACGAAAATTAAAGTGAAAACGGTCAGGACCTGGTTATATCAAACTTTAATGATGTATCAACATGTCATTAAACGTTCATTAAGTAATTAAATGTATCATTAATCATGTGATTAACTTTGTAGCCACGGCATTAACTGTGTCAAACCACACTCGTAGACTCGTGTATTGTAGTCACGGCATTGACTGATATCAAGCCACACTCGTGCATTGTAGCCACGGCATTGTCTGATATCAAGCCACACTCGTGCATTGTAGCCACGGCATTGTCTGATATCAAGCCACACTCGTGCATTGTAGCCACGGCATTGTCTGATATCAAGCCACACTCGTGCATTGTAGCCACGGCATTGACTGATATCAAGCCAAACTCGTGTATTGTAACAACGGCATTGACTGATATCAAGCCACACCCGTGAAATGTAGTCACGGCATTGACTGATATCAAGCCACACTCGTGTATTGTAGTCACGGCATTGACTGATATCAAGACACACTCGTGTATTGTAACCACGGTACTGACGGATATCAAGTCACACTCGTGTATTGTAGTCACGGCATTGACTGATATCAAGTCACACCCGTGTATTGTAGTCACGGCATTGACTGATATCAAGCCACACTCGTGTATTGTGGCCACGGCATTGACTGATATCAAGCCACACTCGTGTATTGTAGCCACGGCTTTGACGGATATCAAGTCACACTTGTGTATTGTAGCCACGGCATGGACTGATGTCAAGCCACACTCGTGTATTGTAGTCACGGCATTGACTGATATCAAGCCACACTCGTGTATTGTAGCCACGGCATTGACGGATATCAAGCCACACTCGTGTATTGTAGCCACGGCATTGACTGATATCAAGTCACACTCGTGTATTGTAGTCACGGCAATGACGGATATCAAGCCACACTCGTGTATTGTAGTCACGGCATTGACTGATATCAAGTCACACTCGTGTATTGTAGTCACGGCATTGACTGATATCAAGTCACACCCGTGTATTGTAACCACGGCATTGACTGATATCAAGTCACACCCGTGTATTGAAGTCACGGCATTGACTGATATCAAGTCACACTCGTGTATTGTAACCACGGCATTGACTGATATCAAGTCACATCCGTGTATTGTTACCACGGCATTGACTGATATCAAGCCACACTCGTGAATTGTAGTCACGGTATTGACTGATATCAAGCCACACTCGTGTATTGTAACCACGGCATTGACGGATATCAAGGCACACTCGTGTACTGTAGTCACGGCATTGACGGATATCAAGTCACACTCGTGTATTGTAGTCACGGCATTGACTGATATCAAGGCACACTCGTGTATTGTAACAACGGTATTGACTGATATCAAGCCACACTCGTGAATTGTAGTCACGACATTGACTGATATCAAGCCACACTCGTGTATTGTAGTCACGGCATTGACTGATATCAAGTCACACCCGTGTATTGTAACCATGGCATTGACTGATATCAAGTCACACTCGTGTACTGTAATCACGGCATTGACGGATATCAAGTCACACTCGTGTACTGTAATCACGGCATTGACGGATATCAAGTCACACTCGTGTACTGTAATCACGGCATTGACGGATATCAAGTCACACTCGTGTACTGTAATCACGGCATTGACGGATATCAAGGCACACTCGTGTACTGTAGTCACGGCATTGACGGATATCAAGTCACACTCGTGTATTGTAGTCACGGCATTGACTGATATCAAGGCACACTCGTGTATTGTAACAACGGTATTGACTGATATCAAGCCACACTCGTGAATTGTAGTCACGACATTGACTGATATCAAGCCACACTCGTGTATTGTAGTCACGGCATTGACTGATATCAAGTCACACCCGTGTATTGTAACCATGGCATTGACTGATATCAAGTCACACTCGTGTACTGTAATCACGGCATTGACGGATATCAAGTCACACTCGTGTATTGTAGTCACGGCATTGACTGATATCAAGTCACACTCGTGTACTGTAATCACGGCATTGACTGATATCAAGTCACACTCGTGTATTGTAGACACGGCATTGACTGATATCAAGTCACACCCGTGTATTGTAACCATGGCATTGACTGATATCAAGTCACACTCGTGTACTGTAATCACGGCATTGACGGATATCAAGTCACACTCGTGTATTGTAGTCACGGCATTGACTGATATCAAGGCACACTCGTGTATTGTAACAACGGCATTGACTGATATCAAGCCACACTCGTGTATTGTAGTCATGTCATTGACTGATATCAAGGCACACTCGTGTATTGTAACAACGGCATTGACTGATATCAAGCCACACTCGTGAATTGTAGTCACGGCATTGACTGATATCAAGCCACACTCGTGTATTGTAGCCACGGCATTGACTGATATCAAGCCACACTCATGTATTGTAGCCACGGCATTGACTGATATCAAGTCACACCCGTGTATTGTAGTCACGGCACTGACTGATATCAAGTCACACTCGTGTATTGAAACCACGGCATTGACTGATATCAAGCCACTCTCGTGTATTGTAGCCACAGCATTGACTGATATCAAGTCACACCCGTGTATTGTAGTCACGGCATTGACTGATATCAAGTCACACTCGTGTATTGTAGCCACGGCATTGACGGATATCAAGTCACACTCGTGTATTGTAGCCACGGCATTGACTGATATCAAGCCACACTCGTGTATTGTGGCCACGGCATTGACTGATATCAAGCCACACTCGTGTATTGTAGCCACGGCTTTGACGGATATGAAGTCACACTTGTGTATTGTAGCCACGGCATGGACTGATGCCAAGCCACACTCGTGTATTGTAGTCACGGCATTGACTGATATCAAGCCACACCCATGTATTGTAGCCACGGCATTGACGGATATCAAGCCACACTCGTGTATTGTAGCCACGGCATTGACTGATATCAAGTGACACCCGTGTATTTTAGTCACGGCATTGACTGATATCAAGTCACACTCGTGTATTGTAGTCACGGCATTGACTGATATCAAGGCACACTCGTGTATTGTAACAACGGTATTGACTGATATCAAGCCACACTCGTGAATTGTAGTCACGACATTGACTGATATCAAGTCACACTCGTGTATTGTGGCCACGGCATTTTTACTGATATCAAGCCACACTCGTGAATTGTAGTCACGGCATTGACGGATATCAAGTCACACTCGTGTATTGTAGCCACGGCATTGACTGATATCAAGCCACACTCGTGTATTGTAGTCACGGCATTGACTGATATCAAGGCACACTCGTGTATTGTAACCACGGCATTGACTGATATCAAGCCACACTCTTGTATTGTAGCCACGGCATGGACTGATATCAAGCCACACTCGTGTATTGTAGTCACGGCATTGACTGATATCAAGCCACTCTCGTGTATTGTAGTCACGACATTGACTGATATCAAGCCACACTCGTGTATTGTAGCCACGGCATTGACTGATATCAAGCCACACTCGTGTATTTGAGGTACGGCATTGGCGGATATTAAGCCACACTCGTGTATTGTAGCCACGGCATTGACTGATATCAAGGCACACTGGTGTATTGTAGCCACGGCATTGACTGATATCAAGCAACACTCGTGTATTGTAGTCACGGCATTGACTGATATCAAGTCACACTCGTGGATTGTAGTCACGGCATTGACTGATGTCAAGCCACAGATTGATTTGAGTCACGGCATTGACTGATATCAAGCCACACTCGTGGATTGTAGTCACAGCATTGACTGATGTCAAGCCACAGACTGATTGTAGTCACGGCATTGACTGATGTCAAGCCACACACTGATTGTAGTCACGGCATTGACTGATGTCAAGCCACACACTGATTGTAGTCGCAGCATTGACTGATGTCAAGCCACACACTGATTGTAGTCACACACTAGTACTGATTGTAGCCACGTCATTAACTGATTTTCTGGCATGTTGTCAACTACATACATATGGAGGTGTTCTCCTAACTGATAATCTTTCAACAAAAATAAAAATCGATAGGTATTGTCAGAAAGCAAGACAGAACATAAATTCCCTAAGATCTGTGGGACTTTATCACTCTCAACTCCACCCATTTACATGTGTCAAAATCTGGCTGAGAATGATACTTACAACAAGTCTCTATGGCTGTGAAATATTACCTAACATTAGGGGTCAACAAACCGATGCACTTGAACTTACACAACGATATTTTGCTCGTATTGTGCAGGGGCTTGATAAATTATCCTCAACAGATTCTACTATTGCAAATTTGGGATTGTGGACACTTATTGGTTACATCGACAAATGTAAACTTACCTTTCTTGGACGTCTATGCAAAATCTCCTGTAATAATTTTGCCAAAACTTATTTTGTGCAGCAATAACCACATCTACAAAATCCATTAAATCTACTATATGTACTCTATAAGTATAATTTACACGTACAGATAGAAAAATATATTGAAGAGAGTGTATTCCCTCCAAAGTACGAATGGCGAAATATTGATGGGTTATGCAAATCTCAATTAATACAACGCTTTATGCACGGGTTCATTGCAGGTTAAACTATCATATTCTCTGGCAATTGGCATACTTACATCCCAATTATAAATCTCCTCTCAAAATACATATATGTATTAAAATCTCATCACGTGGTATCTAAGGAATGTAACCTATGTAACAAATATACTTATGATTATGATTTTCATATACTCCTACATTGTGAACAACTTAACATTGAGAATTTTTGTGTGTTTATGATTGACATTCTTGATGTGGAAACCTATGTTACCTTTGAATTACAGGATGAACTCGATATGCTCTCTTTTCTATTTGGAGGTTAAACTGCTTTTAATTAGAATGTTGATCAAGGGACATTGGAAACAATTATTTTACGATTTCCTTTATACATTTGCCGAATAAGAGGACATCTCCTACAATGTTACACTG